CATTTCACGATACACCATATGCCTGGAAGAATACATATAAAAGCAGACCTGCTCTCAAGACGATCAGATCATAACAAAGGAGAGGACGATAATGAGGATGTTGTACTACTAGATGAGAAACTCTTTGTACGAATGACCCTTTCATCGAAACAGAGACAGGAAATAGCAGATAGTCAGGAAGAAGAACTGGTGATTTCAAAATGGATCTTAAAGAGAAAAGAAAATGTGGATGACTTAATAAAAAATATGAAGGGAAAGATAGAGAGGAGAGAAGACGGATGGTTTGAAGATGAAGGTTACATAGTATTCAAAGGCAGGATCTATGTACCAAAAGATGCCAAGTTGAGGGAAGAAATCATCAGACAAAACCATGACTCTACCATTGCAGGCCACCCAGGTAGATACAAAACAAAAGAGTTGATCACTCGAGAATACTGGTGGCCTTATATGGATAGAGATATCACGAGATACGTAGATGGATGTGAAGTCTGCTAAAGGACAAAGACAGACCACAAAAAGAAAGCAGCACTGCTTCATCCAAATGAAATCCCGGATAAACCTTGGCAAATCATATCAGTAGATCTAATTGGACCACTACCAGAATCAATCGGATACAACATGATAATGGTAGTCGTAGATTGATTTACGAAGATGATCAAAGCCATTCCCACACAAATAGAAATCACATTGGAAGGAGTAGCGCAATTATTTAGAGATCACGTATTTAGAAACCATGGCATACCCGAAAAGATCATTTCAGATCGAGGACCGCAGTTTGTTTCTAAATTCATGAAAGACCTACACACACTCCTTCTGTTATGATAACACAATTTCCGGACATTTCCTTTCTTTTCATTCTCCGCTTTCACTTTGTACTTTAGCTTGCACACATGGCGCCACGCGGCATTTCCCCTTTTGTTCTAACTCCTCTTTCTCGTGCTGCATTGCCTTTTCCCTTATTTTAGATTCTACTCTCTCACGCAGTGGAGCTGGCCATACGGGCTAGGCCCTATGACATCATCAGCCACTGCCTCTATCAACTGTATAGTACATATGTACAAATAACCCTGTAGTAGTATATATACCCCAATAGATCAAGGAGACTCCTCAGCGAGTCCTCCTGTTGTTAACCAACAAACTCTCTGCAGCCTAAGGGGTAACCACTCCCTCATCATCTTCCTTATAGTGTGTTTCTGTGTGCGCCAGAGTAACTAACTCTTGGTTGTTACACCTTCAGATAAAAGCAAATCCATCAACAGCATGGCACCCACAGACGGATGGACAAACAGAGAGGATCAATCAAGAGATAGAACAATATCTCAGGATCTTCGTAAACCATACACAAGATGATTGGGCAGAATGGCTTACCTTAGCAGAATTTTCATATAACAACAAGCAACATTCTGCAACAGGATATAGCCCGTTCTACTTAAATCATGGACACCATCTGAGAACACAGGAAGTAGTGAGAGTGGAGGTAAAAAATGAAAATGCAGAAGATTTCATAAAAAGAATGACAGAAACGAGGAAGAAAGCAGAAGAGTCATTACGAAAAGCAGCAGAACAGATGAAAAAACAGTATGACAAAAAGAAAAGAGAAGCAGTGGAATATAAAGTAGGAGATAAAGTATATGTGGAAGCAACCAACATTTCGACGGACCGACCAGCTAAAAAGCTAGACGATAAAAGACACATGTAAGACCTCTATCCCCTATACCGAGTTAACGGAGGGATAAAAGCTCAAATCAAACAAGTAGCGTTTCAAGTATCGATTGAGAATTAATCAACAACTGAGGAAAATATGTACATGATGGTCTACTATATATATGTTTCTGAAAGTCAGCCATGAGGCGCTGACTGATGTTCTTTGTAATGATTCTAGGCTTATGTCACGTGATGGTCACGTGATCTGATATAACTACGTATTTATGTTATCCGCGCTAAAGCAGCAGCTTAACATATCTTATCTGTCATGTGATCAGATATCAAAGAAAATGAAAAAGGAAATTAGCGCTCAGACTAGCGCTTCTGGTTCAAGTCGTGACAACACAGTCCATTTGAAATACTGGAAAAAATAGGTGAATCAGCCTACAAACTATCACTACCACCAACATGGCGACCTATTCATCCAGTCTTCAATGAAATAAAACTTACACCATACAAAGAACCACAATTCCCCTCTCAAGGGAAACCCAAACCGATACCACTGGTGATAGTGGACGGACAAGAGGAATACGAAGTCGAAGAAGTTTTAGACTCACGTCTCAAAAGAGGAAAATTGGAATATCTAGTACATTGGAAAAACTATCCAAAAGAGGAACGCACATGGGAACCCAAACAACACTTAACCAATTCACCAGACAAGGTGAAAACATTCCACGATAAAAATCCTAATGCACCTTGACGAATACAATTTCAACTACATTTTCAACCTTTCAAAAACTTTACTACGACGAGAGTACAAAAACAATTATTTAATTGGGAAAACAGGAAATACGACCCTCACTTTCGAGACGAAAGTCTTAAAGAGGGGGTAATGTCACGATTTGAACCAAACCGCTAGTTTCTTTTGATTCATTATTTAAATATATCTGATCACGTGACAAAAAGCACATGACTCATTATATAAACAAAGTAGTCAATTATATCCGATCACATGACAACCACGTGACAAAGCCTAGACTATGACGCACAATATCAGTCAGCGCCTCATGGCTAACATTCAGAACGTATATATATCAACACCCATGTACATACTTTTCTCCAGTTGTTGATTACTTCTAAATACAGTGCTTGACGCTACTTGTTGACTTTTGAAACTTATACCTCCGTTAACTCGGTATAGGGTATAGGAATCTCACATATCACCACCACCAGCAGTGAGTTTTCCTCCTTTCCCCTCCCTTTCCCCCTCCTTTTTTCTTCAACATTCTTTCATAGGACCTTTCCGTCAGTGGCATCTGACCTTCTGATTCATTCAAACTGGGTCTGATGCCCGCTCACTGGTGGGGACATTCAACAATGTTAGTGGACATCAGATCTACGTCAACATCCATCCAACACCCAATGTTCTGACACCAAGGGTAGTTGCAAAGGTATTAGATCAAGAAGTGGAGGCCAGCATCAAGCTAAAGTAGGGACTCAGGAGGGAGTTCCAGCCTGGTAATTTAAATCCCCCTCTTCACTTCTATCTATCTGCTTTACTGATTTTGTGAAATTTACATGGGTCAAAGGAGGTAAATCTGTAAATACTGTGTGGAATGTTTAAGCCAACAAATATAATGAGGAAGCACAAGAATTTAAGCCCGTGACTGCAATGACCATGATTTCCTAGGAAAATAGTAATCAGATCAACACATGGCAACTTCAACCATCTACCAAATAGGTGTTACGCGCTTAGTCATTAAACTATCAAGCGAGTCTGAGCACTTCACAAATGGAGGATCTATATCCAACTCGACTGAAACCAACTCATCCAATTTACTTCTTTGCAATGGTGAAATCGGTGTGAATGTGTTTGCTTTTGTGCTGCGTAGCTTCAATTGTTTGATAGGTGATCCTGCCCGCTCTCGAACGTGCAATAGCTCGAGCAGCAGTTCAAATTCATCACTAACATTCCAATCTTGCAGAATCAGTGTTTGAAGGTTTGGCCATAGTAAAGGTGCATTGGAAGGCGGGTCTTCGCATGCATGTCCTTTCAACATCTCTTTGATCATCTCTTTGCTGTTCATTTCTGCGAGACTAACATTGCAGACCGTGGGGAATACGCGGAAAAAGTTTATCACTTTGTCAGGTATTGCGGGAAAGTGCAGAACAAGTGATTCCAATAACGGGAAAGGAGGATTGCTGACAAATTTCACCAAGAAGTTGGGCAATCGCTCTATTTCTTCTTCACCTATGATGTCATATGGGGTCTCCAACGACAACTCAACCGCAGGTGCAGGTGTCAGAGAGAAATGTTCGAGGTGTGGGGCGACAAAGAAGACGAATATCTCGCAAATCATAGCGACACAACACTCGGGGCCAAGTTCTAAGCATAAGGAGACGAGGTTTGGGAGCGGGACGATGTTTTTAATTCTATACCATTTGCAGTAGAAATCTTCTTTGAGGTGAAGGTGGGTGAGGGCGGGCAGTTTGCGCAAATAAGCAAACAGTTCATATGCGGTGAGTTGATGATCATGGTGATATGTTTCGACGGATAGAGATGTAAGTGTAGAAGTGGCAGAAGGGACACTACAGATGTCGGGGCCAACTTGACACAGCCGCAGATGAGTGAGCATAGGAGCGCCGCGTTGGAAGAAGTGGATGGGTGGCCGGAAGTCTATTACCGTCATACAACTTTGGCTGAATGCATTAACTCCGAAATTTTCCAGTAGGGGCACGTAGATGTCAACAAATTTCCTTAGAGTACGGCCTGCGACACCCTGTGCGCGTACCTGATAATCGTTATGGTCACCCAACACTGTCAGGTCAAGACATTTCCATCGATCCATGCAAGAGAATAATAGCTCAACGACATCTTGGCGCTCGCTGGATTTTATCCGTCTCTGGAGAAATCCACGTCCCTTAACGTAATAATCATCATCGTAAGTTGAGTAAGTGAGATCCGCATCAAGGTACAGAGGCCCATCGTTGGAACGTTGGATATATAATCTTGCTTTATCGATGGATGTACCTTGGGATATACACAGTCTGGTCCATATCGAGGGTAGATGCAAGAGTGTATGCCTCCAACGGCGGCACACGAGGGCCAGGTTGAATTCTATGCCGTTTGACACGCAACTAGCATATGTGAAGATCCAGATGAGTAACTCGGTGGGGAGGGCGTTGATATATGATTTGAAAACGGGACGGCGGAGCGACATGTGTAAATCATGATGCCCGTTTGACTCCACATGCATGTTGTCTATCTGCACTTTTGTCAATACCGTTCCAAGTTCAGAAATTTAGAAGGACACTAGTCATCACAGGCTGATATAACGCACCGAAGTAGTTCAATGACCTATGCTAGGACTGTTGCCCGTCGGTGAATTGGCTGGAGATGACCTACCAAACGATGCAAAAAAGTCAGTCGTCGCAGCTTAAAATGTACGGGTGTTTCCGGACAGGACTGTAGACTATACACACTTGAACTAAACGTCTGAATTTACTGAATAACAGTGTGCGTTCCTAATAAAAACCAGTGGACAGTCATTGGAAGTATCAATAATATCTAAAGTCGCTAGAAAGAGCATTTTGCAGTAGGTCTCACCATTGTGCGTGCTTTCAAATTAGAGCATTTGTCGCAATGTTGACTTGTCGCCAGGACACCCAGCCCCATTGATAATATCTTATTGCCTGTGTCTCTAGGCATTGTCGTCATGTGGGTTTGCTATGGTTTTACTGACGACCGGTGGATAACTGCATGCATCATAAGCACCTAAATAACACCGAGCTTCGAGGCGACATCATACCTATTATCGGAATATATTGCTGCTATAAGTAGAGAGCAGAAGCAACCATCTCCATCGACTCCTCACTCTCACCCACTACCAGTCATCACTTACTTCCCGTAGCAATGAGTTATCGCGATCGTGAACCCTCTCCAAGACCAAGTGTTCGAAAATTTATGGCATCTTATGCCCCAGATTGGTGAGACTCCAATATCTTTCATTATTATCAACCGATTCTCACAAATTATTTTTTTCGCATACAGGATCGTATCAATCGTACTGTGGTATATCGCTTTTGTTATTCACCAAAAGTTCGGTCTGATGCCATGCGTCTAGGCTGGTGTTTTTCGTCATAAATACTCATGTCTCAGGTTTCAAGAGGGAGTTCTCAATGTCTGATGTCACGTACGCAATTTGTCCTTCGTCATCATTAAGCGTATCTGAACTTTTCTTTCTTCAAGCCTTCGTTACCCGTGAGCCCACACACTTTTTGTTGACACGTCTTTCATATATGATTTTCTCGCAAGCTATGCTGTCCATCAGCGCGTCAGCGTAAGCAACCATTTCAGTCTAGTCTCGGGGTTTAAAGATACAATTGATCCATTCGAGTAGAATTTCGCTCTTTACATTATATGTGCCTTTACGCCCTTCGTATGTCAAATCGCGATCAACCTTCTAACTGTCCGATCATGGTGGGATTTCCACCATAGCACCCTAGGACGTTGGTTGTCCAACATTCATCTATGCGTTATTCCTGACTTTTTTTCAAAAATTAGTGCTTTTAGGATTGTCCATGACGGGCTCGTTAACTCAACTGGTGAAGGTGACCGTCGGTCGCCCTCGACCTGGTAAGACTTCTTGACCACAACATGCAGGTGGTAAACTTGAACCCCGTTGACTACAACAGATGTGATCTCAAGGTGTCAACCACCGGTCGGTAGCGTCGACCCACCACTCGGATTGTCCACTGTGGCCATTTGCACGCAGACTAACCTCGCTATCCTAAACGATGGATGGCGAAGTTTCCCAAGTGGTCACTCAAGCAGTACGTTTCAGCCTTTGCGTCCCATCTTCGAAAGAGTTCATTTGACTGTGGACATTGTAGTGGCATTTGCTGGCCTCGGCTTCTTATCATTCTACCTTGCAGGAAAAGTACATTTATTCGACACGCGAGGACATGCCGTGAGTTTGTTTCACGGATTGCCTTTGGAAATTGAACCGCACAGTCTGACTTTCTTGTCATGACAGAGCAAGGCCTGGTTGGCACTCACCCCTCTCACCGGTGCCGCGCTCGTAGCCATCTCCCGCACCATGGATTACCGTCGTGAGTGAACTTTCTGTTTGATCTTGCCTCTATCGCTCGTTCTCAGCCTCCCCTTTCACGTCGGGTATAGATCACTGGCAAGACGTCGTGACAGGATCCATCCTCGGTATCGTCGTCTCGCTCTTCGCGTATAGGCAGTACTACCCCTCTCTTGCCTCAGTGGTCTCCCACCGCCCTTACGCAACGCGTTTTACGCATGAAACCATACAAGGAAACCAAAATGGTCGCCTAACTCGCCAGAACGGGAACAGGTACCAGTACATCGACGAAGAGGATGAAGTGTCAGGTAGTGACCATGGGATATTCAATGGAATGCGGAAATCAGATGATGCTAGAGTAGCTGAAGCGGAGTGACGGCGGAGATAAAGAATATGCTAGTTTGGCATCTTGACGAAATATCACTTCATCCTGTAAAATATATTCTCAGCGTAAACCGCAGGCACTCCACATAGTTTCATTATAGATTGAAATATGAATATGTTCTACCACATGTCAACTCCACCATATCTAAATCCAAGGAAACCTTTTTTTGAGCAATCCAGCTCATCAACGTTATAGGGCGTTTACGTGTCTTTCTTGTCTGTGCTGGCGCGCTTTGAGTAGATCATATCCGTGAATGGGCTACGACAGGTGATCGGTGTTTAGATCAAAAATTAATGAAAAGCAATGGTGACCTACCCTTCAAACCGCAAGGCGATAATATACACCACATAGACATACAGCGTGATCAACAGCCCAGCGGGGCGCTCGTACCTAACAGCTCAAAATCAGCTGCCTCCTTCAAGCTGCCTCAAGAAGAAGAAAACACGTACCACAGAGCAGTCGCCGTAAAACACAGGGTACTGCCCACGTACATGGGATCTCTGAGAACATTGAACGGGAATCCTTCCACTCGATGGTCCATAAGGATCCCAAAGTAGTCGCCGAGGAATGTACCCGTGACTCCCAGCGCCCACGTCGACGTGACGACGAAGACTTGTCCGACGATGAACATGATCATGGGTATTTGCGTCGCGTATGGCTCTGGGAGCATGGGCACGCGTGGCTGGTCTCCTAGTGCACGCTGGTATCTATTCTCGCGAAGATCAGCCCCTCGAACGCATCCAGCCACTATGAACTATAAAACGTACAGGTGGTCCCGGAGGATACCAAATCCAAAGATGAGGAGGGCGAGGAAGTAGCATCCGTAGCGAGCATTTCCACCAAATATTTTCGTGATAGTCTTGTTCCTGTACTCTGAAAGACGCGTTTAGCCCTGGAAGATGGAGAGAAAGTCAGTTCGGCTTACCATTGCGAGCCACGATGTTCCATGCGGTAGGATTGAAAGCAATGGCAAGGAGAGAAATATAGAAAGACGTCTGAGACGTGTCGATAAACGAAGAAACTGGATCCATCCCACAATTGCCACTGGCACCTCAGACGTAGAACTTGAACAGAGAAAACACAAGAGGCAATAAACACGTGGTCGCGTCCCTTTAAATTGCTTCGGTTTCCTAAAAAGACTCCGGATTGAGGTAATCCTGACTGTCCATTGACCTGCATTGACGGCTACATCCTGATTCTGCGGTGATTCGGTTATAATGTGAACTACAACTTGAGTTACTTGTCAAGAAACTTCGGCATTCAAAATGTTGACATGCATCAATTTATCCCTGTGGTGCAAGGCAGCGAGGGTAATATTAACCGAGATGGGCCGACTCGCTTCCTTTTCACGGTAAGAGAATTGACTTGACTCCAACCAGTGTCTGTGTAGCCGAACATGCAGGTAATATAAGCTGTTCGGATGGGGTGAACTGGGCTCTAAATTGATCTAAAAAGTAATCGTTTTGAAACCGAATAACCACTTACCCGTAAACACCTTGCGGCGTATATAACATGGGTCTAGGAAAGGGTCTGGGTACTTTTACACTGACACTGTTACTCTCTCACTCAGTACTCATCATCGCCGTCTAACCGCTGAACTCGGCTTTCGAAATGTCAATGGACCTTGGATTAAAAGATGTACACGTCCTGGTCACAGGTGAGCCACTGGAAAGCTAGTTCAATGTTCCCCCCGCTACCTAAACTGAATTTTCTCGTCTGCAAGGTGCCAGCAGTGAGATCGGCGTCGAGATCGTCCGCCTGTACCTGTGTAAGCAGTCTATTTCCTACCCAATTCACCGACTCATCTCTCGAACATCAAATTATCATCATGACCGTATAATCAACGCAAACAGCACTGGGTGCAAACGTGTCAGCTCACTACCACAGCAACGTCGAGCCTCTCAAAGGCCTAGCCAAATCCTATCGGCATCACACCCAACTAACAAGAGCAGATCTCTCCAACGAAGCCGACGTCGTCCGGATGTTTGAATTCATCTCCCAGCAATCCTTCGGCCCCGTACAGATCGCAGTCCTCAATCACGGCTCTTTTAACCTGGAGGAGATCCCGACCGCTAGGATGTCGCTCCACCAATGGAACACCACCCTGTCCGTCAACCTGACGTCCTCCTTCTTAGTGTCCAGAGAATACCTGAGGGGACTCGAAGACGCGAGCGCGGCGCAAAAGGACGAAGCGTGTATAGTGCTCATTGGCAGCGCGGCGGGGAAGTATGGAGAAGCTGGTCGTGTAGACTATGCCGCTATTAAAAGTGGTGGGTGGTCGACGGGACAAACTATGAGTCGACTATAGATTTCACTAATTCGCGTTTGTGTAGGGCTGATGACCGGGTTGACGTTGTCATTGAAGAACGAGATCGTAAAAATAGCGCCGAGAGGGAGAGTCAACTGTGTCGTCCCTGGGTGGGTGAAGACGCAGGCGAATAGAGAAGCATTGGAAGATCCGGAAATCGTCTACAAAGCCCTTGCCACGTACGAATCTCATTTTTTTTTTTGACGCACTAAATCAACGTATATTGGTATTTCCATGGGTCTGTAGGGTTCCCTTGAAGAAAGTAGCTACTACCAAGGATATCGCCAATCAGATCGCCATCATATCATCTGCAACTGTGTCGGGACATGTCACCGGGCAGTGGTTGATGATTGACGGCGGTATGGAAGGCAGACTGCTCAATCAACGAAGTGACATCCACATGCCAATATAGGCAATGTTTTACTTTGTGCTTTATGTTATACACATGTGTCAATCTTAGCATCTTATTATTTGTAGCGAAATCATAATTATCAAAATACCCCCAACAAACACTATCCACATAGTGATGTGCCTGCATTGTGCAAGGACAAGTCTGGACTGTTGTCATTTGTTCTTCTACTGAGTCCTTGCCAGATAATTTTGGTGCATGACGTTGCAGTTGGGAATCATTTTGCAAAGTTAAATTAACATAAAATTATCTCTATGTCAGCTGCAGGGGCTCTGCCGTTGATAGAGATACTCGTGAGGTCATGAACATCAAATATCCCTAAGAAGTACTGTACGTCATCTGATGCCATGTGATTCTAAATTGTATCTAGGTGAGAGGTGATATGAACCATAAGAGCACCGTAGATCAGTAGTAGAAGGCAGTACACTATAAGTGAAGGACACTCCAAAAGTATCAAAAAAATGTCCAAGATATATCACACTAAGAACGAAATTTTGTTCCAAGACTTTACTGGGAGCTCCAGCTCCATCTCATGATGGTCCAGAGTGGAGTTTTCTTCTATCGCAGGCGGGCCCTGTGAACATAATATTCAATCAGTCGGTGAGTCTAGTAAATAACTCCCAGATCATGTTACATTAACGTTAATTCCACTTGTTGCGTTAAACATACGTGTGTGCCTCGGCTGTTCATTTCGACGTAAGCACATTTTTCACGACAAAAACTTCACCTCTCATACCTGTGGACGAACACCAGTTTGTGATACAGATTTCTCTACTGTGTATCCTTCAGGATTCCAGACATTGCGAGCATTGAGTGAAGACACGAGGGTGGTGGTATACAGCTTAGATAGTGGCAAACCGAACGACAAGTGCCTGCTCATTAGTTAGGAATATATTTCACAAATAAAGGCAGGGATAAAACGGACATCGTTGTAGTACCCTAGAAGACAAACCAAAGTCAACCAACAGGACTTCAGCATGTGGGACAATTGGCTTACCGCAATCAGATAGGACATGACCACACCCAAAGCGCATGTTGTGGTAAGTAGGCCAGTCTGTACCGTCACTACGCAGAAGATGAAGCCTAAGACTACAAATAGAGAACATGTGACATACACCGAATAACACATGCTATGACGTGGTCAGTGGAAGGAAACCCAGTACGGGATTGCCTCTGTGTGTCGTTATTAAATTGTATATGATAAAAAACGATTATACTTGCAAGATGGCAAACTAATGTGACGGTAATGATGGCGTCTGTGACAACCGAGCCAAACAACCAGATTAAAGACATGCTCTTGACCTTATCCAAGTCCACGAAATACTTGACATGAATGCCACCAATCATTGTACCGATGCTTGCAACTATAGGCATGTGATGTCAGTTTTCGGACTTGACTAGAGGGTAACAGTGACCTACGAAATTGTATTACAGAAAGGATAGAGACAAGATATGACAATATTTGATTTCCTGTAAGTACCTTTATCCTCCATGCAAAGAAAGTTTGGACGGCGAGAGCTACCAGTCCCTGATAGGTACATGAGATTGACAGTCTATTTCGAGGTTAAAGTCTCTGATCTCACCGTGATAAAAGGATCTGTCGAACCAAGATAAATAAATGTATGATGAACGAGCACCGCAAAAATTTCATGTTACTAGGCTTACATGGAATAGTTCCTGCAAATAGACGTAATCAGACATCAGCTTTAATGTTTCTGAAAGTCAATCACCTGTATTCATTATCGTAATAGCCTTTTTATCGCCTGGGCAGAAGCACGCCAACGGTTGTGAGCCAGACCAGGATGATGCATGATGCACCGTGTTCCGCTGTTTCTAGCGTCTCGTTTGCCTATCACTTTAGTATTGTCTGACTGAGAGACTATCTTTCACTTAGATTCAAGTGCTACAGCAGTCATCATATGATCATGTCCATCAATCTGTCGAGGAAGCATCAAGGAATAAGGGCTGCCGGATAATCTGACCGTGGCGCGATGATAGTCTCAAAGGGGTTTTACCCACTTCAGGTCCTATCATATCAGAAAGAAGACCTGTAACGCAACAAATGTCACACAAAATGATGTTTCTTTCCTGATAACTCTCGCCGCATCAAATATGTATGTGCTGCTCCTGATATTGATGCGGGCCAGAATAGTTCTTCCCCTTCTGTTTCATTGCACACTGGGTTTGTGGCGATATCAGTGGCGGCGATGCCCGTGATGGATGCTGTCACCTTCCTTGGCTGATCCACTTCACCAACTATAAAGCTAATCAGATCGTTCTTTCCACCTCATTTGACCATTCTCTTCATCCAGTCACCATCTGCTCACCGTTTTCACTTCATTCATCTCACTATGGCACCCGTCACCCGCTTTGCTGCCTTCAAGTACAAGCCCGGTACCACCAACGAGCAGAAACGCGCATCCTTAGATGGTCTTATCAAGCTGTACGAGGACAATGCACACATGGTTGATGTTGGACCCCGAGGTGCGTAGTTCCCAACTATCCACAACGATCTCAATCAATCGCTCACTGCAATATCAGGTGGCGCCAACAACAGCACTGAGGGCTTTGACAAGGGTTTCGATGTCGTCTTCACAGTAGTCTTCAAGGTGATTAGGATGCAAACTTCTACTTTTGTCATATGTGCTGAAGAGTCCTATTACAGTCAAAGGCACACCGTGACGAGTTTGTCCCCGATCCAGCCCACCTTGCGTACAAGGTCAGACGCCAGATGAAGTGCCCTGCAACATAGTGCTAACCACCCTCTTATCCAGGAATCCATCATGTCCATCGTTGAGGATGTTATCGTATATGACTACGAAGAGGGTGTATTCGGATACTAATTGTTAAGTTAACAAATTGAAGGTTGTAAAGCACTGTAACCATTGGCCCTTTAATGTACGAAAATACAAGTGTATAAACATACGCATAAGCATATATCTGAACATCGTATATTGCTATGATGCCTCCCGAGCCACGGACAGGTTGGATCGATAACTCGAGGGATTGCACAGGGTTGCGCAACACAGCCAGGGCTGACAGACACTTTGTCACTCCAACAGGCCAGAATAATATTGCCATCATTTATCCGGTCTGACAGGACGGACCTTAGTGCTCCATGATGCATGCTATGCATGATACACGTCGGCTGATGATGACTTCTCAATACCTAAACCGTAATAATTATACAATTGTATATTACTCACACCGTATGGCCTTGACGGATGCTTTTCGCGCCTTTTCCTCGCCCTTTTCAATCACTTTCTTCGTTCCTCGTCCCCACGTCCTCACGCCCTCACGCCCTCCGAGTTAAATCTTTCTCGGTCACGCATCAAGTCTCTTTTCTTTGGCAGGCACATCAACTCGATTCAGTGACCATACCTCGGGTTCGTATCCATATTTACAATCATTTCCTGCCGCACAGCCTTTCCGAACCTTGCTAGCGGGCATAAAACAGATGGCAGTCCACTTCTCACATATTCTCCCTCAGGCTGAGAGCACCACGTCCGCCCACATCATCTTTGCAAGCCGTTCGAAATAATGGGTTTATTCGACTTGACGTGAGTCGCAGCTTACATGCTGCTTTGTATTTACTGACCTGGTCTGTGACGCAGCCTTGGCCCCATCCTCATGGGGTCCATGATGAATGTTCTTCTTCTGGGCGTCATGATAATGCAATCTTACATTTATTTTGAGTAAGTGTCCCGGGCTCATTTCATCACTGTTGTTCGATGATCCAATGATCGCCCATAGACGCTATAAAAAGTAGGTGTAGTCTTGTACTTCTAGAAGCAGAGCTTGATGTAAATCCTTCCAGTGATAAGACGTGGTTGAAGGCTGTGGTATGTGTCCTCAATGCCTTGGCGACACATATCATGATGAACACTCTATTCACTTCGCGATGAACAGGTCTGCCTTCTTCTTGTTCTAGATTCTTTGAGTGCTGCATTCGCTATGGACATGACGTACAACTATCTTGTGACGAACTTTGGTCTGTTTGTCGCTTGACCGATCAGTCTTACCGCTGACATTTTCGTCTAGCCAACCTTGAGGCTATTCAAATTACCAACTTAGGTGACTTACTTCTTTGACTATCAAGTGTGATTGCTGACCGTGCTTTTTGTAGGAATCACTCCTTGTAAGCCCTGTCATGGATATTTTTATGCGTAACCATTTGACACAGGTACATTTACCGTCCCTTGAAACAGATCCACTCCTCACAGTGAGTGAGCGTCTAAACTCTGAAAATACGCTGGTGCGCATCTCACATGCTTTCATAGGGAATAACGGCATTTGTCGTACAAAATTTCTTCGCGTGGAGGATCAGATTGCTCACTGGAAACAAATTTTTGGCATATTCCGTTTGTGCGCTTTCCACCGTTCAACTCCGTTCGTAGCTTCGTCTCTCTAGTTAACCGTGAACCTAAATGTCGCCTTTTTTCCAGTTGCAAGCATCGGCACGATGATTGGTGGGATTATTGTCAAGTATTTCATTGATTTGGAAAAGGTCAAACAGGTGTCTCTGATCTGGTTGCTGGGCTCGGTGGTTACGGACGCTATCATCACTGTTACTCTTGTGTGGTACCTCGTAAGTTTCGGGTTTATGGCCGATAGCTTCATCCAGTTTACTGACACTGCACAGCGGGCACACCGTACCGGCTTTGCCTCAACTGACCATCTTACTGGACGCATTATTCGAAGTAAGTCATATGTTCGCCATTGTCACGCTTTGGCTTGGTATTCATATTTTGTACAGTGACGGTGCAGACTGGTCTGCTCACCACAACATGCGCTTTGGGTGTGGTCATTGCATATTTAGTTTCTACGGCAAGTGAACTGCCCTATATGATTTGTTAATTCATTCTGACTATTCACACAGAACACGACGATGTGCGTCACGTCTGGCTTTTAAGCGTGGACTGCCTTTCTCACTCGAAAGCTAACAGGCACTTGGCATTCGGCTTGCCGTTGTCCAAGCTGTATACTAACTCTCTCATGTCCTCACTCAATGCTCGCAAAGCTTGGAATCCTGCGGGGTACACGGCAGAAATATCTGGATCGAGGACTGGTATCAATTCACAGGTATGATGCCGTGGGTGCATTCATGCTCCTCCGAATACGAAGACTGATTCGAACCAGTTTACACATGGTCGTGTGTATAGTGCCGGTAATGGATTCGTTGCCCACGTGAGTCGACCCACCACGCACACATTATACCCCCTTCCCTCGCTAGACTCGCTGACTAACCTGGTGGTCACCTTCTCCACAGAACCCAAGCCCGGTAGACGACGACCCGACTCTGGATAATCACGAACTGGAGTTCAGGAAGAACGATGCTCTGTCGACCAACTCGGCGAACAAAGTTCCATTCTTGGTGTAATATATCTTTTTTGATACCTCTGATACCTTTGACGTAAAACGCCAGGTTTTACTGTACCTAGTGGAGCGTCCTTCACCTACGTTGTACTATGCTTTTATCTCTCGCTCTGCAGGTCCTTTGCCTGTTTCTTGCATTTACGATAACTAATCTATTCACTCACATTACTATGGACACCAGATTTCTTGTCATCGATTATTAGTTAGTGGTCGGCTAAGGAAGATTCCAACGGTCGTTTACTTGCTGTATAGTTTTGCATTGTTCGTACATATCCCCTTTTGGAAGTCAGCTGCTGATACCGCTTGGAATGGCTATATGTCACCGGAAGCAAACCGATTATATAATCATCTACTACCGGTCCGGTGCAGCGATCGATCGAGCCGTACTGTACTGGATCGTATATGTACTTGAAACTCGCGCGCACACATACATATGACGGAAGTAACATTGCATTTAAATTTATTCTTGTTTAACCGCCATTCGTACAGCCTGAGCGCTGTGTACTAGGGCACGGCTGACACGCTTACGCAGGTTCTACAGGGTGCTCTGCCATGGTGACTACTACATCTACGTCCGCTGCATTTTTATATTTCTTTCTTCGTGGTGGCAGTCCCGACGACCGCAACTGTGTGCTATCAGAATCTGATTGTTTCTCCCCGGCATCGAGAGTGGAAACATCATCATCTGCGGAAATCAGCTTATCGACGAACGTGTCGTGGGCCGGAAACCAGACAGATGCACAGTAATACACGACGCAGGACACCACGAACTATCGAAGGCGCGCTTGCGTCAGTGTATCGCATACTACGCATCGACGGCCAGACGTACCCCGTACATCCACGCAATATCAAACAGACGAGTGGCGTATCCGACTTTAATAGCAGGATTTATCGAGTTCGCCAAGCCAGGGAGGGTAGGTAAGACGGTCACGAGCATAGCAAGCACGGCTCGCCAGTTCTAACCCGTCTTGTCAATATTGGAACGTGTGCGATAACTAACACGTGCAGGACACGACTCACAAATCCGCCCACGTAACGATATCTTCCATGAGGGTCGTACATGGCCGGGACGTCGACGCGACCACGATGTACAAGCCAGAACTGTCCGAGAAGCATAAGCAATGGCGTTGATTGCAAAGTTTATGACGTAGATGTAAAAGACATACATCTGTGATCATAACACCTGCAAAAGGTCCCAGGAAAACCGTGTATCCATTCATGAAATTCAGGAAACCTGCAGCACTGACATTTTTTTGGTTTTCAAGTACGGCTTGCGCACGCAAATGTGTTCACCCCTACCTTGCAAGTATTTCCCATGGGCAAAGCGCCCATCCACCTATGATAGCACAGATAACCTGGCCTCGCCTTATGTTGATATAGCGTGGAAGCAGCACTGTCATGTCATTTCCAGCGCCCAGGGAGTTCGCACTGATGTTTGTTCCGATGGTGGTCAGAAGGAAAGAAAAGGAAGCAAAGAATGCAGCAGCGCGATTATCCCAGCGGTTAATCAGGTTCAGAGGATTCCACAGCACTTCTCCATACAGCTGTATACCTGCACTCGTTACAGCGATGCCAGCGAAGCTGCAAAGTGTAAACGCAATAGGAATGATGAGTGGTTGAACAAATTGCCTGTCGTCCGGAAGTCAATCCCATGCCATAAAAAGGAGAAGAGAACATACGCTTTCTCGTCTTTCGCATAACGCTGTGGTATGTGTAGCTTTGGTCTTATGAAGGAATAGAAGGACTTACTGTGAAGTCAGGGATATTAACTGACAAACTGGAGTATATTCCAAGCGCACTATTCATGGCACTCAGCCAAGACCAAGAGAGAGTGTTTTGAGGAAGAATGGAATGTTGAATGAAGAGGCCTTCAGACGCAGGGACTCTGACAAAACACCAGATCACCATAGCAAGCCATGTAATAGGAACAATCCACGCTTTTGCCATGAAGAGCCAGCGAACTTTATGTGGTGTTAGCAACATGAAGGGAAGTTGAATTAGCCAATATAAAAGGTAGCACAGTAGTCCTAAGTCGCCTGGGTTCAATCATCCAGTTCGATCAGTGGAGCTGCATACTTACCGGAGCTTGTGATATTTGCAGTATCAGAAAGGTGATTTGGGAGATGCGCTATTGAAGGCCATATAGCTTTGAGCATCTAGAGTGAATACACGTAAGCTGTGTTCCGTTCGATTCTTTGGACACGGTACCTGATAGACACACAGGGACCCATTGTACGTCTTTTCTTAGGGGTAAGTACAAACACGACAACATAGACCAGCTTGCATAATGCATCGCACCTGTATGCCAAACCAGAACATGGACAACAAGACGCGACTGAAAACCGTAAAGTAGCTGAACCAAAAGCCAAACGAAGACCTGTTTAATACTGGAAATGCAATGTGGAGCCTGGCACCTGTGGTCCCATTGAGAACCATAACGACAGAGATGATGCCATATCCTGCTGAGATGCAGGGAAGTGCTTGACGCCTTTATATCAACTCTGGTCAGCAAGTAGTTTGCGAGCATCTACCCAAATGAGTGGTCTCACCATGATAACCCCACAGCAAGCATTGAGCTTGCTAGTTCCCAAACAGCTATGTTTGTAGCATCAGACAGCCAGTAAGAGATCTTGTATGAACGTTAAGCGTCATGGTGGTGACTTTGTTGACCCGGAGAGAGGATACACGTACGTAATTCATGGTTCTGCGACATGGCGTGAAAGGTGCTGAAGTGAGGTACAACTCTAGAGAGACTCGATAAGCTTACTCACGTCCATGTTCTAAGGCGAAGGGGAACAGGGTCCATGTCCTTGTTACTCCATCCGTTTTTGGCGAAGGTGGTGTCTTCTGGTTCCAAAGCCCACTTTGACGGCCTGAAAAAACTACTGGTCGACTGTGCGACTGTGGAAAGAGAAGGCATTAGCGTGGTAGACTTTAGCATCTGCCAGTGAGACATTGTGTATCTCTTTGGTGCTTTATACGTTGTTTATTTATACGCCATGATAAGGCGAACGAAAAAGCGAACAGAGCGCCTAAGTTTACAGATAACAGTCGCGATCCTAGATGCCATAACAAGGAATATTACATAATCAGATTAGATCAAAAGTCGGCCACGCCACGTGCGACCGCGGTTTCACTGGTCAGGCTGGGTTGCAGAGGTCTGAGTCTTGCCTCTGCACTTCTGACATCCCAAACACATCTTTGCTCACTGGAATACCGATAATAAGTCCCTGGACAGCTCGAAGATATCTTTGAACCAAGAGATATGTCAGATGCATTCGATGTTATTCCATTTGAGGTCCGTATAACACTACACTTGCGTATTTATCACCATTTACGTTCGTTGTACAGGATATAAAGGGTGATTGGAAGAAACTGGGCTCAGGATCATTTGGAAACGTCTACAAAGGTGTGTTAACTCACCGGATCATCACGATTGGAAGTCAATCTGATCTTCATCCTAGGCTCATACCTCGGCATCGATGTAGCGATCAAAGAGGTTCTTCCTTCGAGCAGCTATGACGTTGCAAAGTATTTCGAGAGAGAATGGAGACTCATGAAGTGAGCCGCTTTTCTCTAAGGAATCAAATCTCTACTGAAGTGAATCAATGATAGAGAAGCTCGTCATCCCAATGTCGTCCTATATCTAGGTCTTTCGCGTGCACCACCTCCAGACAATCGTATCTTCATTGTCTCAGAATATATCGAGAATGGTAATCCGAGATTTTGACTGTGCTACCGTCTTTAACCTCTTCTCCATCCTCAGGTAATCTGCGGATGTATATTCATGACAAAAACAAGCCTTTTCCCTGGAGGCTTCGGTTGTCCTTCGCTACTGATATCGCCCGTGCACTTGCCTATCTCCATGCCCGCAAATGTATCCACCGTGATATCAAAGGAGAGAACCTTCTTGTTACGTCGAACGGACGGCTAAAAATCACAGATTTTGGATTTGCGCGTATCGCCGCACGTAACGAAGAAGAAAGCAAAAGGCTCACTTTTTGTGGAACCGACTCTTATATGTCTCCTGAAATTCTTCTTGGTGACGAATTCGACCTTCCCACTGATATATTTTCTCTTGGAATCATCTTTTGTGAGATCGCTGCTCGCAGGCTTGCCGACGACAATCATTTCAAGCGCTCTCCACCGTCATTCGGACTGGACAAGGACGAAATACACAATTTGGCTAGTCCAGGATGCCCACCAGCGTTTCTTGATCTTTGCATAGACTGTCTATCAGAGGACCCTGCTGCGCGCCCAACCACCCGTGTCATACTCGATCGCTTGCGCGTGATTGAAGCCGAAGTTCTTTTGCGTCCAGAGGCAGACGATCTCCATGTTGGAAGTATCAAATTCATAACAGGCGGAAAGCGTCCGGGTGCTCCGCGGATACCGAGCTTTGGAATGGGCATAGGGAAAGGCATCAGGGCTTCGACCCACGTGGAAGAGACCCTCGCAGCTCTCTCTAGTGGAGAGGAAAGCAGCGATGACGAGTTGGCGGAAGCGATTTCCGGAATTGATGCTAGCTTGCACTTGAACAGCGATTGGAGTGAGGCCACCAACGGTAAGTTTAATACCATACTCTGGTGGAATCGGTTTCTTAACGTAACCTTCAGGACATAGTGATAATGGTAGTAGCAAGCCCTTATTAGATAGCACGTCGAGTACATACTCTGATTACAGCGTAAGCATGAACGGTGGACATTCGCCCGACCCCACCATCACCATGCCTCCGTCACTGTCCTCCATCCTTACCGTCCGGCCTTCACCAGACCTAAACGGAGCTGCATGCCCTGTGACTCCTGGCCTCATATCTACGGAGGACAGTATGCCTACGGCCACCACTGATTCGAGACTATCTGTGCAAACATACCACACCGCTCACTCTTCTGTGCTAGCATCGATTGCTGCCGCCACGGAGGGCAATTCATCTATACGCTCTCTGCCTCTTGTGCATCGTTTCACACTCCTCAAGCCAGGCACTAAGCGTACAAGTGGCAATACGTCGCCTGCGCGCAATGCTGAAGGCGGTTGGAATCCCCTCGACTTGTTCTTCTCTAGCGGTCTTCTGGTTCAGAAATGCGACGTCTGCACCAAAAGGATTGGCTGGAAGCCTGTTCTCGAATGTGATGACTGTGGGTTAAGGTAAGGATATATATATACGTGCTCCCGCCGGAATGCTGACCGGGATTGATGCTTTAGGACCCATGTTAAGTGTGGTGAGATCGCACCTCGGGACTGTGGTACTCGACATTTGAGACCTGGCGTTCACCATTCCCTCTACAGCGTCTCACCTCTGTCGAAAGCCAAGCATAATGCGAAAACTTCTTCCCCCGTTGCTTTTCCCCGTTAGAGTTGTCTCTGCAAATCCATTGTGGAGATATCCTTACGATGTTATGAATCCTTGATGAATAAGTTTGGATCTGCTGGAAGGACTTTCTTGTTGTAGTACCCTTTATTTAACGTTCCAGTACAAGGACACTTGGGTCCATCATATGGACCAGAGTTATATTCATGTGCTCTGATCACGCATCGCGTTATGATTTTCATCCTTATACTCTACTTTAATTCTGTAACCTCACCGTAATGCACAATGGCATAGTCAGCTTTTCGAAAATAGATGCTGTGGCCTAACTATCTCATAGTCATGGTAAAGTATCTCCAAACATCGGTTTCATCAGCCGAACATCACATTCACTCACCTTAGTTGTCTCGAAATCGGTCACAACGGTGATAGGCATGTCGCGATGCACACTCGTTGTGCCAGTTGTTAGTGCTCCGGGCAGCGCAGGAATAAGGAAAAGACAGGAGTGTACATTAGTACAGTAAAATTACCATGTACCTACAAGCGAGACCTCAAGCGGTCTAACGTAGGGACTAATGTACTAAATAAGGGGAGTGTAGAGAAAGAAAGGAAAAATCAGTTTCAGGCGGGATATTTTTAAGATGAGACGAGTTCAATCTGTAAAGTCCTCTGCATGTAACTGTACGTAGTGAAGGAAGCCCGTGTTCCTACAAAAAGAATCAGCCACCCTGATAACTGAATCAATGTGTTTTTGCACTAACCAACCAATCTTGTAGGTATGGTTCCCACCTAATGATGGCCGAGGTGCATCCTTAGGCACACAGACCGGAGAAGGTGACCAGTAAGGTTCGTGCGAGGGATTTAGTGATGTGAAAAGATAGAATATAGCAGGTATCATTGGTTTAGTTGGCATATGTAGTTGTCTGGAACCAAACGCATAGGATGGTTGTTGAAATCCCTGCATCTGTTGGTGATGGAAAGAGTTTGCCTGATGAGGATGAAATCCATGTTGGTGTACTCCAAATGGTTTGAATCGGAAATCTTTCACGTAGAAATCTTGATGAGTTCCCGCACGGGTAACTGAGCGCGGTTATCGAAGATGAGAATCAACCCTATGACAAATATCTAGCATTACACGGACCTAGGATTAGTTCCTCTGGCATAATCTCGCCTTCTTCAGCAAGAGCCTTCCCGTTTTGAAGCAAAAACCGCCAGGCATCTTTCACGGATGAGACGACGGCCTCGTGTATGACCATGACGTCGATCTGTTTGTGAGGAGGAACAGCTACCGGCCATCTATATTAGAGAGTTAGCATCACTGGTCCTTCAGCAAGATAGTCGAACATTTACCCTGCAACATTCCCAGGTAAATCATAATGCTCGATTGGCTCTCGCCTCATAGGAACTTGTTCCCAACACCACTGTTGGCCCGACGCTGATGAAGACGTGGTCAGCGAACTCATCCCGTCTTGGATGACATTTCGCAGATGAACAAAGGATTTGAAATCCTTCCCGTGCGGTATATAACCCACGTCACCGACATTGAATTTGTGAGCTGGAACCGATCTCTCAAACCAAGTGTGATCGTGTCCGTTAGCAGCAAAGCTAAGATCTCGAACTTGGCGGAGCGTCAAAGATGGGGTATCATAGTCGCTATCTTCTATGAGAGCTTGCAATTTTGAGGATAAAGCGGGAGGGTCGCGGTCGCGTGGAAGCAGACTTCGTGCAAGAGTAACTAGGTGGTTTATTTTCTTCTGCATCTCATCTGTTACTGGAGTAACCCATTTATAACACGAAACCAAGGAACAGAGAGTCATGTTCACCTTCTTCGTCGCCTCGGTCATAATGGTAAGTGACGCGGCCATTGTTTGGTAACATCTGAGTGTGTGGAGATTAACCTTCCATTCAAGCACAAAGTCAAGAAATCAATACCGCTAGACAAGCATTGAACAAACTATGTGCAAGGCCATAATTTCGACTAGAATACCACGTGCCCTCCGTAGGTGGAGGTAGGCCTACTACCAGGGTCTTATAGCGATCAACTCTAAACGTCGCGCTCTGGTGTCCGGAAATTTATAAAGGGAACAGCAGTCGATGTTGTAGTTCGACATACCTCAAAGAAGTCCTGAAGCTTGCTATCGTCTAAATTAAGCTGTCTCTGAACATACATTGCTGTGTCCTTGGATACAAGTTTGTTCAGGCAAGGGTGACAAAGGGAATGAGACCGACCGAGAGATCGCGGTACTATAGGAGTATACGCACGATAGTCAGCTACACATCCTTTGAAATGATGAAACGTTTATCTCTCTTACAAAGCGTAACATTAGCTCCGCACACGTAGCTAGGTTAGCAGAACGCAGAGCATCCCGCACAAGGGCTTGAGGTGTCTGCGTTTGAACTTTCGAATGAAGACATAAGGACGACAACAAGAAGGCAGAGTGATAAGCTGACCATTGGATAGTAGCACGAACGGGGTCAATGATTCCTCTTCCGAGAAACCCAGCATCTGTGGAAGGTTAGGGTGACTGAAGAAGTTCAAACTTTATTGAGAAGTGAAGCTGAAATATACTGACTAGAGATTTTGGAGTAGCTTGACATCCCTGATCCATTGCTTGGAACCTATCAGATATTGCGTCTTGTTAAGTATGTTTGATACACCTTACTTTGTACCCTTGTTTATTTTTACCATCGTATCGTTTGATAAGGGCTGGTTGATCGCGCACTTGAACTTCCATCGCATCAGCCCACCAGCCTTCTTTCAGACGCGAACGTCCTCGCAATATGATATCAGATTGATGATATCGACGGAACTAGAAGTATAATCAGGTAATCATGTAGCTGATGCCCACCAGTAGCAGATAGAGTTTACCCCACGGTCATCAAGCTCCAATGAGCAGAGTTCCTCAGGCAGATAATGATCGCGCAGTTTGCTATCCTCGGACGCATCGTGGGAGGTGGACAAGTCTGTTACTAATTTCGCGGTTGATGCCTCAGACACCGCAGGAGTTTCAAGCTGAATGACTTCGTCACTGCAATTATTTGTGCACGTTGGCGGGTCGTATGGAGGTGGGACGGATGGCTCAGCTACAACTATCAAGTTCTCATTTTTTTGGACTGCGATGTTGGCAGCGGGACGCAATGAACTGACAGCATACTGGATATCAATGAGAGTGGCAATCTAAGAGCAGATCACACATTAGAATTAGTTCAAGAGACAGTTTGAAGGGAAACGATGTTAGAACCTGAAAAGATCGCGCTGCATCGTCCAACATGGCTGCATATTCAGCAAGAGCGTCTTCTATCGCGCTTTTTCGAAGGAAACGGTCGCTCCATTTCAAATCTGCCAGCCTTCTCATGAACTGCTGTATGGAATTGAGTGTCCTAAGGTCAATGGTTGTAAGTTAAGGCGCGATAACTTGAATCCATGGAAGTATATGCCGCGTACTCTTCAAACCTGCGCAAATTCTGAACTAGCAGCTTGGGAGCGTCTTCCCACCTTCCTTGCATCTGCTCATTTATGTCGATGAGAATTTTGGCGGCACGCCGGGCAAGGTTATCGCATCCTTGCCTGTTGACTTGAATGCTCTGTGTGTCCATGGTGGTGTGTCACAGTTGATATCCTCTCTCGACGATGGTTAAACTCACTTGTATCGTTTCAAGGATGACAAGAAGTATTGTACATGCTGCAGTCGCGGGTGGGAACTGCAGGGTTGATAACAAATTTTTGGTGAGTGTAGTAGTAGCGACAGCGGCTTGGAGAGGGTCTGCAATGGCGACTTTTGCGCGAATGAATTTGAGAGGCATATCGACCGCCGAGACAGCTGTTTGCCTGTAGGGGAGTTTCGCTAGCTATCCTCGACCAAGTGATAAGCCAACGTTGGCAACTTGCTTGACTGTCTGGCGCCAATCCATTGATACGTCACGGTCATGATATTCATAACTTATGGCACTTTCAAAAAGAACGCGGACAACCTGATGCTTGTAACTACGCGTTATGATCGCATTTGTCCGAGATTAAGAGCTTATACTTCAAATTTGGTACTATCATACTTAGTTATTCTAATAGCTTATGTAGACGAGGCAACTTCTCTTCTAGAGATGTAGCATAGCAAAGATGTGGAAATACCAGGTTCGTCCAACGTTCTGGGATTTAAGAAATATTATTCCAGTTTTACAACCTCTTTGGATCGGATTCCCTCTGCCCTCTAATCTGAGCGCCCATTTCTAGAGCTCTCTTGCCTTCTAGCCACAGCATGGCCTCTGAATATGCAATCGCCTCACATCAGTAATGCACAGTTGATCATCCACCAAGATGCTCACCTCTATAGGTTTTGGGAACAATCTTTCTCGACGTCGGTTTCCCATCGTCTCTACACCACGTGAAGCGGAATTCATTAGTGGTCTGCTCTTGTCCTGTGCCGACGTCCACCACGTTTGCCAGCACTGCAACATGCTGAAGAGAAGTTTCAGCACATGGTTGGTATGAGATTTATTTATTCAACTTACTACTGCTGGTGGGGCGTCGCCACTTGTATCAGAGTGTAGCACAAGTGATCTCAAGCGAAGTATTGAACCTATTGGGACGGGTCTTGCAAACGATATCCCATCCAACGACAGAAAACGAACATGGGATCGAGTGAAGAGTGAGGCATTAGCGAAACCAAGCTGGAAGTCAGTAAGAGTCAATAATGAAGGCCTTGGAGTTAAAAAAGTAATTTTTACTTCGTAAGCCAGGCGCATTAAGTAGCCTATATCATTGCCAGTGGTAAGTAAAATCTCAGGAGGGTTTGAGCAGGTGAAATCACCTCCAAAAACCTTCTGATGTACGCTGTCGAAGATGCCCATTATAAGTAGCGGTCCTTGTAGGTCAAATCAATACGTACTTGCGTTCTTGCGGGAACATAAGCATTGTCTTTTCTAGTTTCGTATCCCCCATCCACACCTTCTCTTCTTGATGCTGGATATGATTGCCGTTACTCTGTCCGTACTGCAGGTAGCAGTCATGCAACTGCTTGGCCTCGGTCGAGCTTGGGGGCACACGGTCAAGTGAACGTAAAGCGAGCGACGCTCTCCTCTTTTTTGAACCTACAGTAGACAGAAAGTTAAGTGACGAAAAATCAAACCATGTCTGTGGTTCACGAACTTTCACCCATGTTATATAGGCTACGTTCCTCTGTAGTGGTTATTGACAGTGGATTGACTGGTCTAGCTCGATGTGTTTGAGCGTCTCTGCAAACCATTGAGAACCGACCTAAATCGTCCAACTTAGCTAAATCATTCCATTGATTCTCTATAAAGTGTACCAACCGAGCAACAAAGTCCTTTCATCCGTCATATCAGCCCCGAGAGCTTCCATCTTGACCGCAACTTCCATCGAACTCTTCCCAGTATATATAACCTGGCCACTTAGGCGAAGGTCGCGAACTGGGTGAAGCGGTGCCAACATGTCGAGTCTGAAATCGGTAAGTGAGCCATGTTGTGACATATTGAGATTAGAAGTTTACCTATCTACCGATGCAGTCACGATGTAGAACCCTCTTTCTTGGATACGACCCAGCGTCTCAACTCCAGGCCCAAGCATATGTTTATACTGTACGTAGTTGTATGCAAGCAACGGCCGCCAGGGTGTGACCTCCGAGTTTGCCCCAGAGTTAGCAACGAGGTCAATGTGACCTGTGACACTTCTGAGATTGGCAACGCCGAGGCCGAGAACAGTCGGTAACGGCTGGTAAAGGCCTTGCATCGGTCGGTAAGGGCTCGCATCGGTCAATGAACCAGCCTCGTGGCCTTTAACTCCGCTAAGGTACCAGGAAATTTATACCAATTTACAATGAATTTTGACTCGTTTGCACTGCTACAACAACTTCACTGACACTATGGAGCTGAAAAGTAATACTTCTGACAACATTTCACGCATAAAATACCTCTCAAAACTGTTCAAAAGCTTACCTGATGATCTCCCTCTGAACCCCGCTAGCTCTCGGTACAGATTTGGCTTGGACGGCGAGGAACTTGAAGAAAATGGCCACTGGTATGCTCTCAATCACAACCTGGAAATTTGCTTCCAGGCCCACAGTCTCCGAGGTGAACCACTGAAGATCACTGAGCGTGGGAAGAGCCTGGATACACTGTTGAAGATGCTGCAAGACGGGATGCGAGAGGCTCCAGGGGATGCCGAGTTGATAATGAATTGGGTCGAGAGGTTGATTGCCGCAGCTATGGTGTCCGGGGCTAAGAATGTAAAGCAGACATCAAAGTGAGTTGGCCATTGTCAGCAAACAGTCACCCGAAAGTTAAACAACATATCTCAGGAGAAAGATGGCCTTTTCATCATCGGATGAAGGGTCAGCAGCACAGCCTGCCATCAAAACCGCGCTAAAGAAGAGAGGGCCAACGCGGAAGGCACGAGATAGGTTGCCTGTCAAAGGGACAGCTGTAACACCCATCACCATCGTCGACGACACAGACACATCATCCGACACCGAGACAACGGCCCCTCGCGTCCATTCCGAGCCTCTGCGCGCGAGAGAAACTGCCAAGCCCAAGATGCCGAGGCTGGTTGCACTGGATGACAGCGATGATGAACATGATGGAGATGATGTTGATGATGGTGAATTGCCCAAGCCAGTGCGGAAGAGACAGTCCACCCTTTTCGCATTTTCTGGGTTCAAGAAGCTGAGCAAGGCTGAGGCTGATGAACAGAATAGGAGAGAGATGGCAGAGACGAGACAGGAGGCAGAGGATGAGCGAGTTAGAGAAGCCATGGTCCGGAATCTGAGAGAGACCCAGAAGCGCGAGGGTGCACGAGAGAGGAAGAGGAAAAGCCGATTCAGCAAGAAAGCGAAAGAGATACGGAGTGGTAAGAGGAACTCAGCGGGGAAAATCATGAAAAAGGTCAGTCCCTGCCAAACACATTTCGACTTTTGTACTCACAGTTACAGATGGTTCTCGGCCATGAAACCCCGGCTGCTGGTGTCCCCGATCTCTCTGATCTTGCTGAACTGTCAAGGCCTGGCAAGATATGGAAGAAGGGTCGTAATGTGAAGTTGAAGGGCACAATTCAGAATCGGCACTCGCGCACAAACTGGTATCATCCATACCTTTGGGTTCACATCAACAATGTCGCCTCTCGAGTCGCCTGGTCACCTACATTCATTGTTAGCACGCTGCAGAAAGACCACCCGAGCCTTTTTGCAAAGCTCCATCGGGGAACCGTTTTTAAGTGGATTTCCAAGAAGGGAAAGAAGTGGTCGAAGAAGACAGTCGAGAATGTTGCACGTCGCAGTGTCCTTGCCCGTACTGGCCGCGTTGGGATTCTCTCGCCGCATCGGGAGATTGTCGAGGAGGTGACATCCCAGCTTAAGGACCTTCGACTTTCCGGTGTTCCGGTTAATATTCTTGTTGCGCGATCAATACTTATAGCGGTGATCAAGGAGAGACAACCTGAACTTCTCGATCGTGGGGATTTCTTCTGCTCTGAGGTCAGTTATACAGCTCTTCAGTGAGTAAAATTAATTCAAGCTGATGTTTGCGTTGGCAGTCATATGTCAGGGACTTTCTCGAAAGTACACTTGACTGGTCAGTCAGAAAGGGCACTCGAGCTGCTGCTCATATCCCCGATAATGCCGATGATCTATGCGAGGCGGCATTTTTCCGTATTGTACATCTCGCTAATTGGTATGACATTCCATTAAGTGTAAGTCCCTCTATGATTGCTTTTTCGAGGTTATCTGATGTAATTATTTCAGCTTCTTATCAATATGGATCAAACAGGTGTTTACCTGGTTCCGGGTAACAATGTCACTTTTAATGACAGGGGTGCGAAGCAAGTCAACATCGCTTCGAAAGATGAGAAGCGGGCCTACACACTTGTGGTGGCTAGCTCATGTGCTGGCGATCTATTACCTTTCCAGCAAGTGTGGAGTGGGGCATCAGTAAAGAGCTGCCCTACTGGCAATGCGAAGGGTATGGAAGAAGCACTCGACAGAGGCTTTCATTTTACATTTGCCAATAGCCCTAAGAAGACGAGCCACTTCAGCACCTTCAAGACCATGGTCGAGGTATGTCATTAATGACTTGCTGTAATTTCAAACACATCAGCTAATCATTTGTTGTGGTAGTGGATGGAGTGCGTGTACATTCCATATGTAAACAAGATCATCCGCGATGAAGAACTTCCCGAGGATCAAAAGTCAATCTTATTCATTGACTGCTATCCTGTGCACACGGGGGAAGAATTTCGGAACTACTGCCGCCACCACCATCCGAATGTCTTTGTTATCTATGTACCTGCCAACTGTGAGCCTCATTCTCTACCGGGTTGTGTTAGATTGCTAATCCTGTTTAGGCACTGGCATCTATCAACCTGCTGATGTCGGACTGCAGCGCGTGACAAAGCATGCTCTGAAACAAGAGTCTCTCAACTTTTTAGTTGAATCACACCGTCAACAGCTAGCCGGTGGTCTAAAACCTGAAGCTGTCCGATTCACTCACTCCCTACCCGTTCTTCGGGATGCCACAGTTGCTCCTGCTGTCCATGTTTATGACATGTTCAAGCAGGGTAAGGGCCCAGAGCTTGTTCGCAAGGTAAGCTCCATTTCATTATCAGTATCATACCATCCTGACGACTTTATTTAGGCTTGGTCAAAATGCCAAGTAAAACAGTGGTGCCTCTCTCCTGAGGTCATACAGCACCGAGACACAAAGGCGGCCTTGCGGAAGTACCTTCAAGACCACCCCACATTCAAAGCCGAGATTGATGCAAAGATTGGCGATGTTTATGGCATTGACTCCGAACATGTCAACACCGAAGATGACTTCAACAACGAAGGTGCCGACATGGATGATTCCGAAGTCCCGATTGGTTCAGTTATTCAGGAGGCACTCGGAAACGGGTTGGGTTGCATGCCCTTCTCAGCAGCGGGCCATGGTATTGCATCTTCCGAGCACACTGCGGTCCATGATGGTGGTTTCTTGCGGGGGTTGGCTGAGGGGGATGATATTTGGGCTTGGAATGTGGATGGTACTCGCATAAGCACTCTACCTTAGACTTAGGGGCTCTAGAATCAAATTTTTGCTGTTTGCGCGATTTTTTTTGCGATTTTTTGTGATTTTTTGCGATTTTTACAATTTTGACCTCAGCCTAGTGTGACTGAAAAGTTGATAGCAACGAGCCCCCTGTGACCGGTGACCGACTAGTACATTAGGCAACGCAACCGACCCCCTGTGACCTGTGACGTTGCTTGCATACAACTACGTACAGTATGAGATAGATCCAGCTAATGAGTCAAGGTGTTCCATGAGCATGCCAGTACGTAAACCTCCAGACGCATTCGTATACTGTTCGAGAAGTTCAGGAGAAGACGCGAAAGGAAGAGTAAATTGGGTGTATGAATCATGCATCTTTCGTGGAGGTAAAGAGTCCGAGGAGGCTGGGATGGCAGGTGTCGGGCCTTCAGATGTTTCAGGGGAGGAAGTAGCATTCAGCAGGGCTTCAGACCATAGCATTGGCTTTCTCAGAGGCATAATGCTAGTCTGTGTTAGTATCGGAGCGAATGTCCAAGGTAAAATGACCTACTTGTGATAAGCAGGATTAGCCATTTCCCCTGGAAAGTTAGTACGAATTCAGCCCGAAACAAAAGCCAAACTAGATAATGGCCCACTTACTGACTACTCTTAACAACTTGTCCATTGTATTGACGTCCTGAGTCTCTTCAACGGCTTTCGCTTCAGTGGGTAAGCTACGTTCCGCCATCGCAGATGTAGTGATGTTACGTCGCGGAAAGTGTGAGCGAAAATAGCCGGACTCGAACTTGGACTTGGAGGCATGACGCGTAGCAAGTCTCAAGGTATTGAACGCGATACCAACGCTTTTTGTCGCCATTTTAGGGTAGTATTATCCGCGATTCAGAGGGAATGCGTGAGTTATTGCGGTTAAGGTGAGTGGCTTCAATTAGTTTGTAGCTACAGGACGAGGAAGGTCAACGTTTTATAGCTTGGCCGCCCTTGTTCTCTTCTTGAATTACGCGTATTTATAGGAAACTTGCCTTGACAATGTGCTGTATAGATCCAATACTGGTGTATGACCTTGGTAGTGCGATAAGGTGCCGCCCCCGATGTCAACTTGGAGCTGATATTTGATGCAGAATCAGTATATATTGTACAGGGAAAGCACAAAAGCATTGTACCTGTGTATCAGCTGTCACTTCCAGTGGCCCTTGACGAGAAAATTCCGGTATGCTAGTGCTATTCAGTCCATACAATAACTTGACTTCAGCTCGGAGTGGTATCTAGTATCATTCCGGTCCTCGCCAAGAACCCGGCCCGGTCCGATCTTACCATACACTTTTTCTTCTTGTTTTCATTGCATATATATCTGGCCATGTTTCAATCCCAGGTATTGTAAATATGACTTGATGTGCACAATACATGACTCGGCATGGATATGGTTGCTCATCACATCGACATCTAGGAATCCAGCAATATGATCATAGCAGTCGAACAGTATCGCCTCATGCCTACTTTACAAATTTGTGGCGATAGCTCATGAGACATTTGCTGTGCAAGCACGTAATACGTCCTAACTGTCCGCAACAATGAACAGCAACAACCATATGGAATCAACGTCCTTACGAGCCTGGCGTAACACCACCATCAAATCCTACAACAGGTATTATGATTTACGATGATGATAACTACACTCACAGCAGAAACCACGTCCAGCATGTCATAGCCAGCGAATATAGAAGGGTCTTACACATTGCTGTGTGGAGTAGAGATGTCACTCATTGGTGAAACGGACCTTATGAGAGGTAGAATGTGAGGAAGACGACTGCCAAGTCGTTCTGCGAAACTTTTGGACCTCCCAGCTATCTCAGCTTCCTTCGCTGTAGCCTCCATAAAAGGTGGTGGAGTGCATGAGACGGCGGCGGAACCGCCGGTCGTGCCCGAAAATGGAACGAGAGATGGCTTTGTTTGCAAGTTCTGTCCCCCCTTCGAATCCACAGAATACTCTGAGGCGTACGGTGAAATGGTGGGTTTCTCATCTAATATCACAGAGAACCGAGTGGGATTATGGTCGGGATCCGTGGTGAAAGCGGCCGGAGTAAAACCACTGTTCTCCAGCATCCGCTCAACCCATACTACAGGCGGTGCAGTCAGTGAACATGACAACGAATGAAACAGCTGATGCTACTAACAAAAGTGTGCCAAACCCTTTCCAAACTGTAATCTGCAGGCCAATGCAAGGGCGCACGAGACAATCAAGAGCACATAGGATGTAGTAGTCGTTGCGGCGAAGAATGCCCAGTTTGTATACTCGAAACGGAACAGCGCACTCCCAAAAAGCCCGCTATAGATTACAATAAGGGCGATACCAAACAAAGAAAACACGAAAAACATTGGACGATGTTCCCGACGGACCGAAACCACGCCCTGGAAAGAAATGAGGTTCAGCTTATAGGGCTTGGTAGGACAGAAAACTAACCATAATAAACCATGGGAATAGTAACTGCGTAACTCTCAGTCCGAAGTTGGGGAATAATCATATGAAATTGCTTACTACAATGGCAACTATGAAGGTAATTTCATAGATCTTGCCATTGAACGACGTGGGTACAAACCCAGTTCGCACCCTGTTCAACCAGAGGGCAGAAGATGCTGCTGTAAAAAAGGACGCAAGGTGCAAGCATGCGTAAAGCCAGAGGGCCAGCTTATAGGTGTGAGTATACATGCAACAAGTTGACTTGTTAAATGAAAATGGCACCTTGTAAAGTCCATTAATATGTGAAGATGCACCAACGCTACCGAACACCTGTTGACTATAAGCCTTTCAAGAATGTCAAAGTCAGAAGGTCACTATCAAACAGAGAAAATCCACCTTTGATAGTTTGAAAACAAGATAAGCAACACAGATCAGGAAAATGACATTGATTATGATGATAGGAATCTATTCAAGAAATATTAAGAGCAATAAAACCACGAAACAAATGAACAAGTACAGCATTCTTAACTCTGGTTTCCCACCAGTTTCCCATAACATTGGTATTATTGCACGCGCCTCCCATAATGACGCTTTCATATATAGCTTGTGTGTTGATACTGTCGTAGACCTTGTAACCTGCCCAAGCGGTATTCAGGACATGACTGACAAGCACAGCGATTCTAAAGATGACGTCCAAAATTTGCAATCAGTTAAACTGGCCCGCTGTTCATAGGGGAACTCACAGGTGTGGTATTGATTCGGTGATAATCTAGTACAGTCATTCATTACAACAACAACAACAAAAAGCCAAATTAAAGGGAAGCGTACCGCAGCAGTCGACAAAAAGAACAGCCACGATTGGAAGACAATAACGACTATATCTTCACCTTCCATGTCCGCAAGGCTGCACCAAATTTTATTAGAGTGGATATCGTGAGCTTCGTTCTGGAATGAGGACTTACAATGTTTCTAGCCAGGGCAATGATTGAACACACTTCAACGAAAGAGTGACAGTGGATAACTTGAATTCTGGATCAGTCACGTTCACTCCTTGCACTTGCCCTGAACTGTTTTCTATTGGCTGCATGGAGAAGCCACGCTGATAGTATATTGTGAGTGGGAGGTATGTATCATACCAGTGGGATACACTCACTGGTCTAAGATAATTGAATCTGTTTACTTCACGTTGAACCAGATCAAGCTGTGTATCATTCTGCTCCGAATCGCGATCATGAGAGACTGCTTCAGATAGGGTACTACACGTAGTGTTAGCTTGCCCAGGGATGTTGTCGCAGATTTGTAAGGTGCCAGCATGTATGGTCGTGAAACCCCTCTCGACAGGTACCAGATCAAGGATAGCAGACACTAGGGCAGCACCCTGCGAACCCACTATTAACGTAGTAGACTGGATTGCAGTTTGGACGATGCAGTTGGCTAATGCAATAAGGAAAAATCCGAGAGTAAAGCGGGTTAGCGTTATCCTCTTGTACTATCGGTAGAAGAGCACTACGATCAGGGAGCTATATCAGTGCAAATAAGACGACATCATACAGATAATTTGGTTCTCGCGATTGCAGCTTTGGTCAGGCTTCGTCTACCGAGGAACACCATTGGAGTAAGAGTGAAATAGGAATCGGATTAGGAGCAAATGTGAAATGCGAAATGCAAGCAAGTAATCTCAAACAGTCGTAAAAAAAAAGGAACTAAAAGACTCAAGCCAGTTGAGGGAAGGAGGAAGAAAGGGGAGTAGACGCCAGTGATTCAAGTAACGCCAGGTTACCTGATGTTGGAAGACGAGTAATACTATGGCATGCGCGCTCGTCGGTATATATTCATACATGCTGTGGTGCTGTTTTTACCTTGATGAAATGAAACATCTCGTGATTGCCTTAATTCGGAGACCCTGCAGATGCTTTCGTAGTGGAGACGTTGACGTCGGGTATCAATGATTCGAGGAGGCAAACTTCAGTCTGATGGTAGCAAACAACGAAGCATGAGACTTACTAGGGTTCTAAGTTAGCGCTGACCTAATGACACTTGCCATTTGCGGAACAAGCTCAGTACAGTTCAGTGCCGCGACACCATAGCGAAATGCACTACAGCATCATGTACAGCCTATTCAAGTTGAAGTGAAATCGGAATCTATGTAAGAATCATGGCCATGCATATGACTGACAGTTTCGATGAGAGAAAAAGGGATTGATTGGCGGAGACACAAGAAACTTGACATGACAGATCTCAAAGAGCACGGCTTTGATTATGTAGTAGTGATCGTGTAGGGCTCGGCGTTCATCACGTTTTCCACATGCTGTATTCCCACACAACCCCCTTCTTGTATACATATTGCCATTTGTTGAGCAACATCTAACCCTTCGAAATAAGCCCCGTGCAAGAAGCCTAGAAACGACAGTATGTCAAACACTACTTGCTTCAAAGAGCAAGAATCAAATTACCAAAGTATTTCAGGCTAGTTGCCTCACCCGCAAACCACAGTCTTTCCGACACAGTTGCTCTGAGATTTTGAGAATGGCCATTGAAAAATGATGCTGGCCAGTTTGAATACGACCCTCTGAACAGGGGATTGCTGTGCCAGCGGGGAAAGTAAAAAGCCAGTGGATCAGGAATAGTGGTATTCGGGTACATCGCACGAAGAACACCCATGACCTCATCTTGGACTAGATTGTCAGATAATGCTTCTGTTCTAATAGCAAAATCCCCCTAAAAATTCGCGTTTCAAACATCAATGTCTCTCGTGGACACAAATGATACCCTACCGTCACCGTCACGAAAACTATGCCAGAACCGGGGAAAAAACCAACGTGGTCCATACTTTGCCAGACTGGATACCGACCACGCTGCTTATCAGCATAGAGGGCCATCTAAAATCAGGGAAACAGTGGGTGTTTGATTGATATCAACGCATTTGGAATGAGATTCACCTCAGTGCTGAACCAAAAGTCCTCGGGAAATTGAAAGAAAATCTTGGTATAAGTTGCCTATAGGAGACGTCGTCAGTACGAGTGTTAGTTAATGCATAGGTGAATGCTTACCATAACCATACTTTGAATGGCTTCCACCTTCCAACTCGGCAAAGTAGGTTCAAAGGCAACGTCACCGTATTGTAACACCCCCACACTGAAGGTGCACAGTGCATAATCGGCACTTAGTGACCTTCCATTAGTCAATGACACTGTCACACCATCCTCGCTGTACGTGATCTTGTCGACGGTCGAGTTCAGAAGAAGTTGTTCTGGTTTTAGAAACTCCTGTGCCTCCTCTTGAATGATGGTCTTGAAACCACGCTGGTCGATGCACATAAGGTTCGAGTCTGAGAATCCTCCTACGTCGGTGTTGTAAGTAAAGTTATTACCCTACAAATGCCGGATTAGCTATAGGAATCAAGAAGTAACTTAGGATTATTCGTACCCAAGATGATGCAATCCATGAGGTCTGCTCAGGTGTCTTGAAAATAGACATCAGAAAAATGCTCAACATTTACGGACTCCATCATGTTCCGAGTCACACACCTGAGCATCTGCAAAAAGGTTCAAGTATATGTGTTATCCGACCATACCAACCAGCATAGATTTGAACCTACATTCCTAGAACACACGCTATTAGAACAAGAGCTATGCTGAGAGAAATCGAAAAAACCAACCCAATCAGCCTGATAATATATACTAGCTGCTTCCTGTGGTGTTTTTGAACTTGCGCCAATAATACCATATCCAGTCAACAAATTCGTGTCAACAAGTTGTTGATCGACGCGTTCACCTATTTACTTATGAGCAAACGCATATTACGAGGAGTAAATGTGAGTACCAGCCACAATTGTTGTATTTGTATATGCATCAACGGCATCATTGAACACATCAAGGTAATCATTATAACCATTGTAGTCGTATGTCACTGATTTCACCATGTAAATGAATGTTTAAAAGGTTGAAGGTTGAGTTCACGTACTAATACTTCCATACCAATCGTTGAATTGTGTGCTTAGGTTGTGTTTCTCTGCTAAAATTAGAATCGGATTCGCTGGGCCATTGCCTTCCTGGGTCCCTTGAATCCAATTAGGACCCAATTCCACAGTATATTGCTTGCCTGGGGCACCGAAAGTATAATTTTGCATCCGGCCTCCGAGTTCCTGGCGAGCTTCTACAATGATATAGTCCGTGATGCCTTGTTGTTCCAGAGTGCGAGCAGCAATGACACCAGCGACGCCTCCACCCAAAATCAGTACGGTAGCGTTTTTGGGAGTTGGGGCTGCACTGTCTCTAGCACTGTGAGCGAAGACGTGTGGTGTAGCAGATAGGAAATTCAGGTATGCAAGGAAGTAGAGTAACATTGAGAAGACCATGGCAATTTGGGGTGGGTGGGGATGTACTGGGGAAATATGAGGTGGTGCATATAAACCACAGGTATATATGGGGACGGCAGCAAGGATTCGTTAGCATATCTTTGACATTCTTACCCGAGGTCCTGATATAGTTGTGCAGTGTTATTTCTTGAACTGATCGCTCGGTGTCATAACTTATCACCACTAGGGAGTGTAGACGTTTTGACCATAACAGATGGAAGATATGGAAGGCTCAAACATGAACATGAGTTCAACCTTTGAAGCTGAGCCCTACTAGAAGTATACTGAAACGTGATATCAACATGCACGAGTCGGAAACCATACTAATAGCCAAGATGGAAGTTAAATAGGCGTACATTCAAATCCAAAGATAGGAAGCTTATCTGCTTATCTCCATGTGATCAGAAAGATTTTGACACTGCGACGTGAGAGTCAGGTTTCACTTCAAATTAAAAATTACAGGCACTGCACCTTGAAGCTCGTATGCGCTGTATGCACAAAGCCGCAGACCCTTCAAGTTCTGGGAGAGCGTAGCGCCCATGTCACGGTCCAGTGAAAATTAAAGCCTATCACCGCAACTAACAAAGCTCCGCGATTAAGGAAGCTTGGAGAGTAAGTTAGTTTTTTGCTAAATTCGATTGGGCACTCACCTTTTTGTGATGATGCTAATAATATTATTAGGAGCGCTTGATGCACATCCATGTTCTCTACGTAATAATGAGAATGGTTATTCTGTTTAACCATACCAGGTATTAGAAGCACCACCGTTGGTGCTCGTGCCTGCCCAATTGACAATTGACCAGCATCTTGCATAACGAAATGCTGACCACATGGTGAAACAGTGAGTGTGCACCAGAAGCCAAATTGGACGCAGTCGCAATGACCCTTAGTTCCGTAGCAGTCAACAAGGAAATTCACTTGCAAAATCCAGAGCTTGGCAAATAGGGTCAAGATCAATATTCTTCTTACAAAGAACCCAAAAGATAAGCTGGCTTCTTCACACTCGACTGAATTTCGGCATGAAACGCTTCTTTTTACTTGTTCCGTTTGCTATGAGCCTGATGTAGTCTCTGAAAAACCATCTACTTTATGACATCACATCTATGATGTATATCACCGCGCATAAGACGTTCTCATCCATAAATCTCTCTTCAAGCTTCAGCACTTTGGTGAGAAGCTGACTAGCGCATATCTGGGGGCGAGGAATCAGCACGGACACTACCAGTGTGAGTTAGATTCGATAGTCATGTACCTTCCGCTGACCCTCCACTTCTCTCCCTTCGCATCAAGTTCATCTGCCACTTCTTGGGGTATGCCAACGGCAACATCCGCTTTATTGGTGCGCAGACTAAGCAGGGGGAACGATCCAGCCAATGGCCCTTTATATCGAAGCCAAATGTCATCAATCATGTACCCTTTTTAATTGATGATACGCACCAAGCGCCATAGAGAAAGGCGTCGATACAGGCCATTTCACGTCTCCTGCAAGTCTATTGTACGTAAACACGTAATTCAGCGACGTGCATTGTAGATAAGTAAAATACATACTTGCGGTAGCTGAAAATTTGCCCAAAAATTATTAGTTAATTATACTGCAGGTGCGAGTTGCTCACTTAAGGTCACCCTGTAGAAAATATCAAGTTAAATTCGTGCGCACAGATATCAAACATCACAAACCTTGAAAATCACGAGCCCGCTGTCACTCAGCCAGTCGTAGATAGTACCGGCCCTCTCCCTCATATTCCAATAGGGCCATGGGCCAGTCCAGAATTCAGCAATGGCTTTGGGGTTGGTCTCTTTCAAGTCCGTACTCAAAGTGAATGTCCCGTCGTTCAGATAAGTCTTCCACCGTGTCACCATTCGCTCTAGATGAGAAAGACAGGTAGGGCTCGGTGCAGATGGAAGGGTGGTGAAGAATGACGTTGAAAGAAGAGACGTGATTGTCGTTGAAAAGTCAACAGGAGTGACGTCCGACACAAACCAGGGCATCAGCTTGGGACTAAATTCAATGAAGTCGAATGATTTCGTCCTATAAGAAAGACGAACACGCACTGAAAGACAGCTTTGGACGCATAAGGAGTGTAAGTCACTAAAAAGTCGGCAAAAACGAAATCTGTAAATAACTGGTAACCAGATATTTGTTCCATCAGCTATCATATCTTTTTTTACGATCACAGAGGTTGCTGACAGTACCTCAAAACCAGCTGCATTTTGGAAGGTACATGTAAGCTAGAAAAAACAAAATATGGCGGAGTAGGTGGCCTCACCGTTGTCGAGGATAAAATCGACTCTCTTCTCCTGGCCTTCTAGGGACTTAATGTGCTCCCATACTGCATTCTGATCATCCCTTAAAATGAACTCTTTCCTGGCTTCTTGAGCATCTTTGCCCACGGTTTGCAGGTGTTCTATGTCAGACGGAGAAAGATGAGTGAGAAGGGAAAGATCCTAAGTAATGTCATATCAGTATTCTGGGACTCCCTATAACTCATTCATCCACTGACAGTAGCGTTTCCCCTGCACAGCTCATTAGCTTATTATTATTATTTTAACTATAAGATCGAAGTCATACTTACCATAGACACATCTGAATCATTTCTTTAAAGAGTATACCGAGTTTACTGGGGTCGGACTTGAGCTTATCTCTTTCACTTTCCAATTCATACATCGAAGTAGCGATTTCTTGAGGAGTAGGTCTTTATTCTTGCATGGCCAGATAATACAACATTGCTTACTATATATTGCTGCTCCGCTGTTTTTAAACATGTCTTGTTTCTGAGCAAAGAATGGATCGAACCCGCGCCAGTGTTTGGTCTCATTGAAGTAAGCGCGGAAGAGACGGTAACTTGATAATATGTTCAAACTTCGAGTTGAAGTCTGTTTTGTTGTAAGACTTACAGATAACATCTGTCAACATCAATAGTTATTGCAAATGTCGGGATATATTTCAAAGGAAACTTACTCTGCATATAGCCAAGGAGCAGTAAACCACGTATTCTGCCCATTCTGGGCTAATTTGGCCAGATCGGCGTTGTATTCCTCGACATACGAATCGCCATCTTGAGGGATCGGTCTCACAAAGATCAGGTAGTCAACACACACAGCCAAGTTATAAGCTCAAACATATCCTACTCAAGTTCGTGATCCCTGGCCATCCTATATTTTAAACGACTGATTTTCTCTATGATTCCTTTACCTTCAGAAACCTTTTCATCCAAGGTAATCTTCTCAGCAGATGCGGGTACTTCAGACCCAAGTCGCTGGGATTCCATCGTGAGACGATGATTGAGGCCGTGGAGATGATCGATTATTCCCGTCAATATGATAGGCCATCTCTTTACTACAGTATCATAACTAGTGACACACAAAATTGTCAGTCAAAGAAAACATCATTTAACAGAACACTCACGAAAAACTGCATATATTCAGGTCGATCACAAGAATTACAAATTTACAACATCATGAAGAGAATGTTATGGTCTTGGTCTGCAGCAGATCTCACATACTCACCCAGCTTTATCGATAGGATCGTATGGCGGAAACGGTGCCTCAAACATGTCAGGATTATCGTTTAGAATGTGTTCGATGGGCTATCCGTGGTATAGACGATGGCGGTGTCCACGAAAGCAATATCGGACGATGCCGATGCGTGCCACGACTCGAGCGTGGTTAACAGCTTTCACCAGGACAGTCAACTAGTCCAAATGGCCAGCTCACTTACCTTTTTGTCGGAATGTCGCCACTTTTCAAAGCCTTTGTCTTTACAATGCTATCTCCTAGGGTAACCGGAGCCTTATTTGTCTTTACTGTGATCAAGGATAACGGAGCGTACTACAAATACTAGTACGAGCAGACTCAAATTGGCTTCCACACAGCGGCAACGACGGATATAAATTTTACCATATACCGCTAACGAGGCAGTTCAGCTGGAGTTGTGATGCACCTATCCATATTGTTGCAGCAAAATATGGAAAGTCTCCTTGATCGAACATACTTCTTTGAAACGCTATCGTTTATACATGGATTTGGTGAGTTACATCTTACAGTATGGGATGGAAGCTCATTGTCAGGCGAAACCGAACTACAAAAAGTAGCATCACGTCATCCCACAGATCCAACTCGCCGTTTAAGCTTGCAGTCACTTTATGCTCCGTTATTTACGTGGCTTTTGCCAAGTACGCTTCGTATTGCGCTGGTGTAAACGTTTTCTGGAAGCGATGTAAGCGATGTGCTTAGTCTGCACACGCAAAACAGGTAGTAAAAATTTCCATACCTGCGAGAATGCATGCATTTGTGCTATTTCATTCTTCAGCAATTCATTGACTGAACCTATTCAACTCCAGTCATTGATATGTTTCAACAAAAACTCACTAAGTCTGTGTTTTGCAAGCGTTGTCTTTCCTTCAAAAGCCTGTCCGAATTAGTATGCAAACATAAGGACTACTTTTTGGTAACTTACTACACTGACCAGAAGTACCGAATAGCTTTCACCGCACCCGCTGGACTGATCCTCTATCTCAAGATGAGAAACAGGAAAGGCAGCTCGGATTGCCTGCTCGAGTGTTTGGATTTGCACAGGCATGTCTGGGTTTTTCAATAGACTGGAGGCAGTTGGACGATACTGCCAGTAATGAAGGAAATCGCGCGATCTGATAAGATAGGTGGATTACTCATATCAATGTGGTTTGATTCTCACGTATAATAAATCCATTTCCGTTTGCTAGATACTAGATAACTGTCATGGTATTCGTTGCTCTATGGACCCATACCAGTGGAAGAAAAACACCGAGCTGCAGATATCACACCTATTTTATCGCCTCAAGGGTCTGGGAACTTGGTCTTACGATGTCTATATGGAAAAACAATCAGATAAGATAAGATAAGATACTTAGTGATTTCGGTGCTATTTCAGGCGAATATCCTCAGACTTCTCTTTATCGCTCAATTCTCCTCACGCACATCCAAGATGGTGGAAGAATTAAAAAGAGTTTCTTTCACGTACCCCGCAATCGACAACCATGCGCATCCATTGTTGAAGGCAATTCATCGTTCAGCAGAGCCATTCGAAGGACTTATATCAGAGGCTCAAGGAGAAGCGTTGATCGAAGATTCTGTGCATACTATGGCATGTTATCGCGCAACGTCTCAGCTAGCCGACTTATTTGAGCTGGAAGGAGACGAAGTTTCATGGCAGAAAATCAAGGAAACCCGAGATAATTTCGAGTATAGCCAATTATGTCAGATATGCATGGAGCCGACTGGGATTCAATGTATCTTGATAGATGATGGCCTAGGAGGCGTCACAGATCTAGCAGAAGATTACAAATGGCATGACCAGTTTACCTCTAGTCCTACAAAGCGCATAGTACGACTCGAGGTTGTGGCACAGGTGAGAACTAGCTTATCTACATCGGACATGGTGTCTCATGACAGTTCCTCACCATGAAGGATGTCCTCAAGGATCTTATCCACACGTCGGAAGATCCGATTTCACTTGATCTACTTCTTCGGTCTTTCAGCACCGAATTTTACAAGAACATCTCGGTCTGTGCAGCCGATGATGAAGTTGCAGGTTTCAAATCCGTAGCATGCTACAGGTAGTAGATCATCAGTAGATGAGACGCAGACCGGAGTCTCACATTCTCTGCTCTTCTTTCGATAAAGGACCGGTTTAGACATCGGCGTTTCATGCACGCAAAACGAGCTAGAGCAGTCTCTCGCTCATATTGTGGCTGCTTACAACGTCACGGAGAAGAGGACACTTCGTCTGGCTGACAAAACCCTTAACGATTACCTCGTTCGCATTGTCCTTGATATTGCGGGAAAGTGTAACAAACCAGGTATAATACATTGTTGTCCACGCGAGAACGATCCGTTGAACCACCATTCTTTTCGTGACTCGGACAGTACAATTCCACACAGGTAGCTTATATTTCTTTTATCTGCGTAGTAGCTAACCCAGCCATAGGTCTTGGGGATAATGATATCAGACTCACAAAGTCGTCCCCCGCTCATATGCAACAAATAATTGAAGCATTCCCACAAACCACATTTATCCTTCTCCATTCCAGCTACCCGTACACACGCGATGCAGGCTACTTGGCCGCAGTCTACAGAAACGTGTACCTTGACTTTGGAGAGATTTTTCCATTTGTGTCAGCCGAAGGCCAACGAGCTGTTATCCGTCAAGTACTCGAGCTTTGCCCTACGAACAAGATCATGTGGTCAAGTATGTACCAATATATTTCTTACTCTCGTTGTGCGTCGCATCTCATATCTCACTCTTCAGCTGATGGACACTGGTGGCCTGAGTCGTACTATCTGGGTACCGTTCAGGCTCGACTTGCTCTGTTTGCAGTACGCGATGTCAAGCTGATCTCACGTGATGTATGGCATTAACCGTTTGTCTGACAGGTCCTCTCTCACTCAGTACTTGAGGGCGAACTCTCCGAAGCGCAAGCTATATCTGTGGTCAAACTAGCACTTTTTGAAAATGCCAATCGAGTATACCGCCTTGGGTTGAAACCAGATCTCTCAAAGCTTTCGTGATCGCCGCAATTTGTATAAACACGTTTTTCCGGACACCATACAAACGCGCAGTGATGATGACCAAGAGAGGGTCTTCGCCCTGCGGCTCAAGCCTCATGCAACTGTCAATTTAAAGCAATGTAGTTGTGAATTTGATATAGGATTTCTGTTCGGTTCTGTAGGTCCGGTACTTTGGTACATATTGAAGGTTCGAATGCAATGAATCGAACTCTTGTGGCATGCTTAGCATGAGACCGGCGTAATGTTGATGTTCAGATTGTATTTCTGTCAAAGTAATCCATAAATACCAGTATACAAGTAAAACTAGGTGTAAAACTCACGTAGGTGGACAGGATGCTCTGTGCACTCGTAGCGATGTCGAATGCATTCACGCCGCTTGCTTCACAGCATTGGTTAGGTGGGGTGTCCTGCAAAAAGTCAGCGTTGAGGATACGAGTAAAGAAAAGTCATAATTACCCCTCCGAATTGAGAGAGCTTGCAATAGTTCTCTGGGTGAGTGGCAGGGCATCTGCAGTAAGTCAAAATCAACTCCACTGATCCGATTTATCTTTTATATGACTATAACTTACGCATCTATCACTTTAACGATAATGCTATTTCCCGTACAAGCTCCGCTTGTCTCGCCATTCAAAGATCCGGCACCTGTGGCCATTGGTCATCAACAAGCCAGTGGAAGTAACAATCCATACAGGTGATTTGGTAACACTGAAATTTCCTGTTAACCAAGTGGTGCCTACAATCAAACGGAAGTACATACGCTGCCACACTGCCCCTCTCCACTGCAAGATGCTGGATTTTAGGATAGTTAGTTGTATTATTATTAGACACATATTTGGTCAGCAACGTACGGCCAGTGCAGTCGAGGCATCCGCCAGAATTATCGCTGTGACGAAAATTGTCTCAGGATGATATGGATATAGTCGCATTCACTTACCAGTTGCTACCACTGATGCTACCGGTGCATTCAGGACCAGTCCACAGGGGTGATAAATCACCCATCGCAGCTGCGTAAACTCCATTTCCTTGAGAGTTGGTGGACGTGAAACCTGTTAAAGGAGCAGCTCGTGAGGCTGATATTTTCGTGACAGTCCTTAGATATATTATACCTGGACAAGCTACACCCCCTTGATCATCATACTGCGAAGTAAACTATGAGTGAACCATATTCCTGGCAGAGAAAATTGCAACGAACGTCATTGAAGGTTGCTACACCAGCTGTCTGGGCCCCGACGACAAGTAAAGCGGACAGAAGTTGGACGGCTCGGACAATGGACATGCTAGTACACGAGTGTGATGAATATTAAATGAAGTTGCGAGCCATTTTATATTCTTCAAGACATGGCGAGGACGCACGGGTAGCTTCTCGGGCTCTCACCTCTTCGGAACTTGGTATACCGAGGCCTCCATTCAAAAATCATGGGATATAGCAACTGAAAACTATGCGAGGTTTACGTTTACGAGCCTCCTTGAAAATCAGATTGTTTGGCAGTTACTAGAGGAGCATCGACCTGATCGAGTCGACATATGGCCGTAGCTAGGTCTGTGCCCTCACCATTCCTCGGGCTCATACACGTGGGGGTGGATACTCAAACCGCGAGATCTCTAAAATCTGAAGATCTGAGTCCTCGAAAAGTCAAATTATGCGAAGGGTAAGGCAAAGTTGAGGCATGCGCATTTGACGCCATGCATTCGACGACGGTGCCTATCCAACTTGGCACGCAGACCATATGCACGCAGTAATAGACGCAGAATTGTATAGCCGAGCGACCGAATATTTCCCTTGAAGCAGCAAGAAAGAAATTCTAGGAGCGATCAAACTGCCTTGCGGCAAGAGTTATGCACATGACTAAACATGCGGAAGTGATGAAGCAGATGAAGCATGCTAACTTCAAACACAACCGATAGCTGCATAATTGGGGCAAGGTAATTGATACCCCCAGCTGACCTTTCCAAAGCTCCATTGAATGATACTCCATCGCTAATGCAAGTTATGAGTGATAGGGAATACGAAACCACAGCCCACTTCCAAGTTGCCTCTGAGTGTCTTGTTTAATTAATTCTCAAACAGAAGAAAAACGTCCACCCGAGCACTAATGCACGCGAACTAGTCCTCGTCGTCCAAAATAATTTCAATTCCTTGGTCTCTCGCAGCTTCTATTGCAGATTGCCTTTTCAAATCTATGAATTCTAGCAATGAGTCGAGGATGCTCCTCTGACCTGCACTTGGGATTAGATTCGCTGACGTGTAGTAGCGGATAGAAACAGACCTTCGAGATAGTGTTCCATCATCAGTTCCACCTCCGGACGTATATCTTTGTCATCATCAGCATCTGAGACCTCCGGGAGGTGCTCAATGAGCGACGTCAGCATCTCAGACAAGACATCGGCCGCTTCTAATTCATCTTCGTATGTTGCCTCGGCACCCTGAGCAATCAAACCGAGAACTTCCTCCCATACCCCCTCAGCACCATGAGCTTTCCGACCGACTTCCCACTTCTTCCTTGAAGAAGTCGGTGCTCCACCAATCTGTAAGACAATGGTATCATCCTGATTTTGCGGTAGCGAGAAACCATAACCAAGGATAAGCTCGGAATTTGGTTTCGGTCCGTAATTATTGAAGACTTCTTGCCCTGCCTGTGTGATAGTATGTCCCACCAAGGAGACGGTAGGTTTTGTGCTATTGACAGTGCTGATCGCTACAGGCTCCGGAAACGATACGACCCATGATATAGGCAGGCCTCGGCAGTGATTGAGGGAGTCGACGCCGGGTATTAATACGGGATAGCTGGATGGAGTCGACTTCAAAGTTGGCTCTTTTGACAACAGAGTTGAAGGAAATGCACGAGAAGACATGTAGGTAGACGCCGTAAGATAATTTTCCCTGTTCTTTACATATATCAATAATAAAACACTACATACAAGTAAGAAGGTTAACCCACCAGGTAAATTTCTCACCCCAAAGCGAACTTACGCTCGAAATATCAGTTTTGCACGCCTGCCATTCGGATCGCCAGCTACATTCGCGATCCACAGTAGCCCCATACAAGTTTGTGCCATTGAAAGCGTCTAGCTCGTCGGATGTGAAATGAAGAGGCGTCCGAAGATCATTCGATGACGGTAGTGTATTTAGATAATGCGTATGCTTCAGATGATCAGGCGTGCTATTTTGAGGGCTGATGCTAATGAGCACTGCAATCGAGCATTCGAAAGTTGACAGCATTGTTTGGAAGATATGTACCTTGTTTCAACACACAGCCAGTGAAAACATATGTAAGCGCAGATCAGCTGTCTTTCTGTCCAGACATTCAAAACAGCGGAACCATCCATCAAAAGTGACAGCGCTTTCCTCGATAGCTCTGGCGTGATAACCAAAGAAAAAGGGCACGATACAATGGTTGTGTCAGGGACTAATGTATCTTGAGCCATTGCGGAAACCCCTGTGGGACCTGGGAATGCAATGGAAATCATAAGGAATCAAGGTAAACCCGAGATAGAATATATAGGTGTTACCGTGTAGTAATAGAACGGACGGGTGAAAGTAACCGCCCTGCTCAGAAAACCATTCCTTGAAAGCAGAGATAGCGACTGATTCTAAAGCCATAACCATGGCGTGCTTGACTTCTCTGTACAATTTCTGGGGGGAAAGGCAACTTAAGGCTAGTAGCCTGAATAACCTGAGTACTAGGAAGACCTAGAATGAACTCAGTGGACGCGGAGCAATGACAGCTGTTACTCAATTCAGCCACCGACTTCTTTAAGTCGGGTCTTTTCTTTTTTTAACAACGCTCCGAGCACTACAGTATTTTTGTCAAATTGATCAAGTACCCGTACAGTAAAGTTACAATAGTTGAATATTGAGTATCCAGGCCCTGCGCACAGAAATCTCCTAACAAAGCATCCACCAAGCGTGTTCCATAGCACGTCACAAATATCGCACACTTTAGTATTCGAGAAAACCTGCACATATACAATATGAATATGAAACTTACCAGTAAAAACATAAAAATATACCTACCTTATGCAAGTAATCGCGTCAAGATATTCGCGCTCGTTTTGTTAATCATCTCTCTCAGCCTGTTCACATCCATAGGGCTTACGTCTGCAATGTCCGCCAACAGATACGCGACATCACCCTTGGAGTCCGAATACTGTTTTTCGACGTTATAAGGTGACAGCACTTCATTGACTTGCTTGAGTACACCAGGTTGGTTGTTGTGCACGTGGCATACACGGATACTAGTTCCTTGTTCCGCGGTAATAGGGCGAAGGTCGACTTCAGGGAAATTGACAGATCCGACTGTTGAACCGTAGTTAAGGTAACGAATCAATGACTGTGACACTTCGTCCCCAATCATGCGTTGAGCTTCCTCTGTCGACCCACCGATGTGAGGCGTGAGGATGACGTTGGGAAGCGAGCGGAGATTACTAGCCCAAGAGTTGATTTGGTCATCAAGGGGGCACCATTGAAACCTGGGTTCAGAAGGATAAACGTCGATAGCAGCGCCAGCCCAGGTGTTTCGACTGAACCGCTTCGACGAGGGCCGGAATGTCAACCACACGTCCACGAGCGTTATTGATGAGGTAGGATCCGGTTTTCATCTGGAGAAGCTGCTCGCGTGAGATCATGTTGATGGTCTCGGGAAGCTCAGGAACGTGGAGAGTAACGAAATCCGACTCTGCGAGAAGAGTAGGGAGAGTGTCTACTTGGCGAGCTGAGCCCAGTGGCATAATGTTGATCACATCATAGAATAAGACACGCATGCCAAACGCTTCTGCAAGGACGGATAGCTGTGCACCGATATGACCATAGCCCACGATGCCGAGGGTTTTTCCACGAATCTCCCAACAACCTTTGGACTGCTTATTCCAAAGGCCATCACGCATCTCAAATGCACGCTGGAAGAGTTGACGGGAAAGCGCAATTACTTCGGAGATGACCATCTCTGCAACTGATCGCGAATTGGAAAAGGGAGAGTTGAACACCGGTATACCTGCTTTGGCTGCAGTGTGGACATCAACTTGATTGGTTCCAATACAGAAGCAGCCAATAACAAGAAGCTGTGACATTGGTGTTAACGAAAGTATTGCTGGAAAGTAATGAGCTTACCTTGGGTGCAGCTTTGATCACGCGCTCGGTGATCTTTGTCTTGCTACGAATCCCAATAGCGTGGTACTGGGGAATTGTTTCGACCAGCTCGTCTTCTGACATGGCTTTTGTGTAATGATCGACCTGGAAACCTTGCGAGCGGAAAGCTGACACGGCATCCTGGCTGATGTTCTCGAGGAGCAAGAGTCTCAAGTCCTCGTTATCGATCGGATGGAGAACCTTTGGCTGACGAACATTGGAGAGACCCTGTCCTATAGACTCAGAATGGCGGAGCCTGTCATGGAGAGAAGAAGAAGAGGTTGGGGATGCTGCAACGACACCTGGCGAGTTTCTGGGCTGGATTTCGATGGGTTGGGAGGACATGGCTGTCCTGAAGCTCGTTGCAATATTCGGCCGTCGGAATCATTCTCAATACTCAGTAAAATTTTGTTGATTCGAGACTGTTCCGAGTCATAAGCACGCCACAGTTCCTTACAATTATTGATTTGTAATCAAGCTTCACTGTTGTTCTCAGCCACAGTTGCCGGAATGCCGCAGCGTAGTGGCACTCACCCGGACTCGCACGATACTACAACAAATCTGCATTCTTGGTTCTTACTTTATTTTTTTTACAAGTCTAACAATGTCGTTTCTTGGTCGAGGAGCATCTACACCAGCCGGGGGAGTCAACCATGAGCGTATGGAGATGGCCATAAACGAGTGCGTCCATTTTGTTATATTCTACACTTATTACGAACCTCACTTTCTCTTGCAGGATTGAGATGATCACTGATGTTTTTAACCGCATCGTATCGTACGTCGACGCGTTTTTACCGTGTTAATATCCTCATATATGACTTGGTCGTCAGGTCGTGTCACAACAAATGTATCAGTCCACGCTATTCAGAGGGGGACCTCAACAAGGGCGAAAGTGTTTGCATCGACAGATGTGTGGCAAAGTTTTTTGAAGTGAACAAGAAAGTAGGAGAGAAGCTACAGAGTGCGGGGGCAAATGCTGCTCCCTCATAGTCTAATTTGGAACGCCAGGAAAACACTCGGACATCGTGTTTGTTCTGCGCATGTTCTTTTATTCTGCGCTGCACAGATATCATATCATCAGTCACATTCATCCTATTGGTTGTATTCAATGTTATAATCGAACAAAGAATGCAGATTTGTAGTAATTTCGTGCGAGTCTGGGCGAGTGCTCCTCGTCCATTGTTGCGAGAGCAAACCGCTAAGGCCGAACCTGCCGGCCCTGCTCTATATATCTACAACCGTACACCGCTTACTTGGGATTGCGAAGAGAGACTTAAGGTCGGGCTCTTCATACTATGCCGACTTCACATGTATATATCAACAGCACTTAAATTGGCAACTGTAAATTCCATGCAAGCTAGGAAAACCTCTCCAGTTAGAGGTTCGGATATCAGGGTCCTTGGTGTCGATACAAACCAACAAGACTAACGGGATGGGACACGTGCTTAAGAATGAATGGTTCCGAACGGAGAAAATAATATTATCTTATAAACATTACAGACGATATGCCGCTTCAGTGCATAGTGGCTATTGCAGATCATCTTCAGAGAGATCAAATCCAGAAGCATGGAGAAGAGTTGCAAACTGACGAGGTCAACATATACGTAAGCTTAATTCAACGAAAGCGTACACGACGTACCTGGACTTTAGCGATAGACCTTACTTGGTGCATGTCATAGCCAGAGCGTTCGCTCAAATCACCTATGGACGATTAGTATGAGATATTATGTTGATCGTACATCACTGACCACTGTTATGATACATGGGGTCGGCGACTATGGAATATCGTTGTCAGTGCATTTCTTTGACGCCAGCTGAACTGAAACTTACTAGGTCCCGCACGCTCAAACACCTGGGTCGAGGGGAATCCTAGCTCAAAGAACGACTTAAAGGTAGGATTAGAATTATGAAGAATTCACGGAAGTATGTACAACAACAAACCTGGTGGTCACTACAGCATGCCGGCGTAAATCCTACCGTCAACTCCGGGCTGTAAATTTCTGAGATATTTCCAACAAGCTGAGCAACATCCGTGGATCCGATGCTAAACAACAGTCAGTGATGAGCATTGCGACATACATGGCTGCAACTCACGAGAGAGGAAGACCCAGCTGAGGAGCCTCGAACGGTGCGTGATATGCCAACATGTCGGCTTGTATCATGAGAGTAATGTTAGCATCAGCGTCATACATTTCGCCTGTATTACAAATTAAGCATCAAAAATTTATATTTGCCATGGTTGGAAACACTAACGAGCGTATGCTTTTGATCCCAAAAGCCCTTGTTCCTCTCCAGCAAAAGCAACAAGCTCGACATTGGTACGGAATGTGATGCCCCTACGTGCAATAGTGCGGGCGATTGCAAGCAAAGCAGTCACGCCTGATCCATCGTCATTGCCACCAGGAGCCTAAGAGTAAGAGCGTTAGAACTATGACTGATGCAAACAATAACATGGATGGCGTACCCTTTGATAACCGAAAGATCCTCGCGAGTCATAGTGACCAGAAATCAGTACAGTTGCATTCGTGTCGACAGACGATGCGTAACGGCTTGGAATATAGTCAGAATCTGCGCTGAAAACCAAAATCTATACCCATACCAGACCACGTTGGGCGCAAAGCCATCCAAAAATGGTCTCAGTTCACACTTTGCGCCGGTGTCCTCGAAGCGCTGTAACAACCAATTGGCAGCAACACGGGAACCAGCAGAGAATGAATGCCTGGAAACAATCCCTGATATCCCATCTTCGCCTGTGAGGAACCTAATATCATTCTTCATTTGCGGGAACGATATACTGTTGACGATAGATGAAATAACAGGGTCAAATTTCAGAGACTTGAGCAAGGATTTAACATGATCGGCTGCGGGGGCTGGAATTGGGATGAATGAAACAGGAGAAGCGGGAAGGAGAGCCGATTTCCAGAATGGCGGCAAGATCCTGTCGACCTTGAGAGCAAACTCCCGGCTCGTTGAGAATAGGGCAGACGTAGGAGTGCTGTGTAGCAATTCGAATATAGGTTCGCTCGAATATTCAGAAAAGATCTCCTGATTCATGTAATCTGGTCCAGCAGCTAACTTTCCAGTTGTTAAAGACTGAAGGAAGTCATATACGTCTGTTTCATGCTGAGAAGTCTTGAGGCTATCGTCGATGGATGCCTCGTGTACCCAGACTAGCTGTTGCACGTCCTGAGACATTGGTATGAATGAGCCGCTTTCCATGCTTCCAGATAGCTGCATAGAAAAACATGAAGGATCCTGGAACCTGAAGATACCTTGTCCGCCATAAATACCGTAGAAATTGTCGGTCAAGCAGCGAGGAACAGGGTCGGAAGTAAACACAGCAGCGTCAAATGGCGCCAGAAGCAGAAAAGTGAGAGGAGAGCTGTGGGTGAGCATGGTTGGTATGTTGGCTGTTGACGTGGTAAATTGCCAGTACCAGCTCGTGCAAGCACAATTGAACCAGATAACGAAACCGGGCTCGGCAAAGATATGGGAACCGAGCCATATCCCAACAGTTCGACATCATTACATTCTAGTTATGCTGCCAATGCAAGATACAGTCACATGAGAACACAAAATATAGTTATCTTCGTAAACATGTCTCAAGATCATAAATTAGTACTGTATTCTATGGATAGAAACCGAAAGCAAAATTACATCCATACACAACCACAACTCATATATCTCGCAACTTAACAACCACACGATCTCGCAATACCTCATGAGCTATCGGCGGGCACCTCCTTCGTGTCAATCTCATCTCCAGCCTTCTTCTCTCTCTCTGAAGAGCTGTCGCCCCCCACACTCCCCCCTTTTACTGTACCCTCTTCTCCGTCCACATTCGCCACAGGCCCAGTAAACCAATGTACACCACCGTATACAGGGAAGTAGTACCAGGCCAAGGAGAGAATCAGAGTGCCACCGAGCACCACGACTGTGTAGTTCATTTCAGCCACAGTTGTTTGGGGGGTCGTGGGGAAGAAGAACACAATATTCATGAATGTCATGTATGCCACGGCGATCACAGCAACCGGAAGGCTCTACGACACCAGGACAGCATGTCAGGATCCCGTATCATCATTATGTGGAGATACGCACCATGATTCCAAGATGGAATGGTCCCGGTTTGAATTTGTTTGTGAAAGCAAACCTCGCTACAATCGGGATGCTGTAGGCAATGTACAATGCAGTCACTGAAATTGCAAAGACTGCGTTGATCGCCTGCGCTCCGGCGAACACAAGCAAGCCCAAAATCATCGCAAGTACGGCGACAAACCAGACAGTGTTCACAGGAGTCTCAGTAAAGCCATTCATGCGATACAGGTACCGTGAAAACGGCAATGCACCATCTCGCGCAAAAGCGAATGATTGTCGTGATGCAGCTAGAAGCTAAACATTTTTTATTAGAATGCTCTGAAACAACTCGAAAATCGCTGCTCACCATACTAGAGCCCATCATATACCTATTTTGGTTTTAGTGGAAGCATATGAGCTCAGACGTCTCAATCAGGGTGATTTTGAAGGGAAACTTACTGTACCAAGACAACAATTGCCCAGAGAGCCAAAGTCCCTTTCTGGCCAAAGCTGTTGAAAAATATCTGCGCCATGGGTTGATTGATAGGGCTATTGAGGAGACCTTCCAGGTCTGTCCCCATGCAAAATGCGAGAGCGACATTGATGGCTAGGGTAACAAATGTAAAGCTCAATGAAAAACTTGAAGAAAACATGTAATCCAAAGCTTACCCCATCCAAGAATACCTGCAATACCAATGGCATTTACCTGAGAAGAGATAAGAAATATGGATTAAAGACTGTATACATTGTGCTTACAATAGCCCAGGGGACTGCCGTTGCGGCGTTGGAAGCCTCCTCGCTAATGTGCACACTGGAATCGAACGAACCTGAGGAAGTCAGATTAAAATAATAGTATATGCGTCTAGCATGTGTATGCAGCTTACAAATAGTCCATAGTGGAGCAAGAAAGCTAAGAATAAAGGCATAGCCATCGGGCCAGCCATTGACTATAAGGATCCAACATCAGGTACTTCCGAATGAGGGTCTAGAAGAGAAGACTGACTGTTGGAAAAGTTTCCAAGCGCATACGACGCAGTGTTCTTATATTCGGCAGGCGTTGTCGCGGGAAGAGCAATGATAACTGCCAGGCACAAGCTGGCGACAACAATGCATTCCTGTAAGTCCGTAAGGACAAACATTTAGTCGATTGAACTCACCAGACGTTGAGGATAACATAAACAGTTTGCAATCGCGCAAGAACAGAGGTCCCAAAGCAGCAGATAATGGCGTGCGTGAAAACTATAGCAGCGAAAACGCCGCTGCAAGAGTTTCAGTACGGTATGCCCTTCAAATTAGAAGTAGTATCATATCTCTGTACACTTACTAAGTCTGTGCATTAGTTGCGACATATGCTTGGTTGGATCCGATGCTGGCCGCTGCAGTCACTTGCACTGCACATCCCCAGTCAATAGAAGCTGCATTTCTGTCAACACAGTATACAAAAGGGAGAAATGAAGCTAATATCGTTACCTACCTACTGCGGCAATCGATCCAATCGTGTTAGAGTCTTAAAGCGTGAATAGAGCAGGAGTAATGAGCATTGAATGTATGAGATTTCTATAAAGGTCCTTACATCCAACAACCCACGCAAGAAGATTCCGGCAGCGCGGAGAAGATAACGAGTGTGTCCAAAAGTATAACTGAGATAAGACGGGAAAACGGTGAGGCATTTCAATTTTGATATTGGGAAGCAAAGACTTACACCACCAGAAGTGGGTGCTGCGGACGCCAGCTCTGCCATAGACATTCCTACACATAATATGAACAGACTAGCAACCGCCCACTGTTTAGAGCAATTGTATCAGCAGAAGGAAGATATAGCAACGATTATATGAACTCACACCCCAAACCATGGCCGCTGGCCCTCCGTTTGGAATAGCATAGAACAGAACGGACCTGAACGAGGCAAGTCAAGTCAATACTAGTGAACAGCTGACCAAGGGCGGTGGAGAAGCGGCCGACAACGTACGCGATAGAAGGGAGCAATCCTATGATACTGAAAGCTATCCCGAAGACCTTTAAAGGAAGACGTTAGTGACTGGGTGAGTCCCCTGAGAAAATACAAAATCACCTCAAGGGGAGTAAAAGCTCGTTTGAACTCTTGCTTATAACCCAATTGTGCGAGAAGGGCCTCGTCTGCTTGTTTAACTGCGATTTCACGGGTATCCATTTTTCGGGAACTTGGAAACTCGTCGATGAGTTCCTCCACCGTTCTATTATGTGAATCGAGTGAAGGGACAGAAGGGGAAACCGGGAAAAAATGACGACTCGCATGGAGGGCCCAGTATTCTTTATGTTATCTTTGAAGCGCTTATGGAGCGACAAGAATAGAAAATACAGTGGAGGCTATCGGCTAGCTTGATAAGGCCCATTAGGTGTATCAAATACTCCATCAAAGTCTCCGGCAATACTCATATAACGAGCAGAGTATCTACTAAGGCACAAGCGATAGCAAAGGCTTAGAGTCTATATAATGGAGCATCTGTTATGGGTTTCTACGGCAATACCAATGAAGAAACTTGCCTTATCTTCGCAGTTTACTCGTGAATCTCTGGTGATATTTCCTGTCTAGACAATGCAACATGGCTTACTCCCCGCACTTGTGGGCGAATCAAGGGCGTGATGGGCATTTGTCGCGATGTAGTGGGTGGTGACTCGTCAAACAATTGATACGAGAGCAGGGTCAGGGTCTCCAGTGACAAAGTATTACATATCGTGAGCAAAGTGCCCTCAAACTGTTCTGAGTTATGGCGACGAGAGCACTAAAGCAGCCTCTGGACCAGGATTGTCGAGACGACTAAGGACTTGAGACACATGTTTTCTAACCATGCGTCACGCTGTCTGATATCGCATTCTACTGTCGAGACAAGCTGACAGGTGCTGGGTGAACAGGTAAGCCTCTGTCCTCCCCGTCGTCACGTAGAGCTGTGAATATAAATGCATGCACCTGCCTGCGAGGCTGCTGTATCCGTTATATGCTAGTGCTGCTTCAAGTCGAGATCTAGCAGAGTGTATAGCTTACACGTTAAGGATACTTAGTGACACCACACCTCGAGAACAAAGCCTGCGATTGCAGGATACACTTAGAGAAGAGTAAAACAAAGATGCAAAACAGACTTCGGGGCCAAGTGAGATTTAAATTTAAGCAGACCGAATGCCATAAAGCTATAACATTGAATATTGAATGACGCATACATGGAGGGCAGAGTATATGCGCAAAGACAGCAAGGACGCGGATGGACCGTGGGAATCTAGCATTGTGTTGACGTGTCAAGAAAAAAAGACGTGGCAGAGAGCTGGCGGAACTGATATATAACAGGCTCTGCAGCGTTTACCTGCTTCTCCACAAACCACCATGTCCCGCTCACCACACCGTCCAACCCGCCACCAGGCGCGGCGTATGGCTTCCTCTCTTTCTCTCCTCCTCTTTGCTTTCATTGCACTCATCTGTCTTTGTCCCGCCGTTGTCGCAGACGAAAGTAGCAAGAGCGAGTATGGACCTGTGATTGGTATCGGTACGTCGCCTGGGTTGTCTGTCTATGCAACAGCTTTTCTAATTGACCTGCGCAGATTTGGGAACTACGTAAGTAAAATGCCATGTCTCCAGTTACCTCTCACTGAATACATCTTCAATGTACTCAGTTATTCATGTGTTGGGTAAGTTGATGGAAGTGATCATGTTATATCTCGTGCTTATACAATTTTGGCAGTGTTCAACGGGGAGGTCGTGTTGAGATCATCGCTAACGACCAAGGTCATCGCATAACACCATCATGGGTTAGCTTTACCGATGACGAACGACTGTGTGTATTCTTTCCTGCAACCAAATGCAACTGCCAAGTTCATCCCTTGTTATCTGTTTAGGGTTGGTGACAGTGCCAAAAACGCATTCCACTCGAATCCCACGAACACCGTCTTCGACGCTAAGCGTCTTATTGGACGCAAGTTTGATGATACAGAGCTCAAGCGCGATGTTAAACACTGGTATGATCTTATCCTTTCATAATGTTCCATTCGGTACTCATGTTACTTTGTGCAGGCCATTCCGTGTCGTCGATAATGGCGGTAAACCTGCTGTCTCTGTGGATTACAAAGGCGAGACCCGTGAATTTGTAAGTGACAAGATATCTGCACATGTGATGCAGTTGTTTACAATAGCATCCATAGACTCCCGAAGAAATCAGTGCCATGGTCTTAACCAAGATGAAGGAGACTGCTGAGGCATATCTTGGTCAGAAGGTCACCCACGCAGTTGTCACTGTCCCTGCATGTCAGTTAACGTCCCGTTCGTAATCCACCATATACTGACTCGTTATGTAGATTTCAACGACGCTCAGCGTCAGGCTACCAAGGACGCCGGTACCATAGCTGGCCTGCAGGTTCTTCGTATCATCAACGAGCCAACTGCCGCTGCCATCGCCTATGGACTGAACAAAAAGGGCGGTGAATCACAAATCATCGTCTACGATCTCGGTGGAGGAACTTTCGATGTCTCCCTCTTGTCGATTGATGATGGTGTATTCGAAGTCTTGGCAACTGCTGGTGACACTCATCTTGGTGGTGAAGATTTCGACAACCGTGTGATCGACTTCTTTGTGAAATTGTACAAGAAGAAGACTGGAACGGATGTTTCTACCAACCTTCGTGCCATGGGCAAGCTAAAGCGAGAGGTGGAGAAAGCCAAGCGTACTCTATCGAGCCAACAGTCGACCAGAATTGAAATCGAGTCCTTCGAAGATGGTAACGACTTCTCTGAGACACTTACCCGGGCTAAATTTGAAGAACTTAACGTGGATCTGTTCCGCAAGACCATGAAGCCTGTTGAACAAGTGCTCAAAGATGCTAATGTCAAGAAGGAGGACGTTGATGAGGTGTGTGAAATTACTGCATGCATATCAACATATTCTAAGTGCCATCATTTTGTAGGTTGTCCTCGTCGGTGGTTCCACCCGTATTCCAAAGGTGCAACAACTCCTGAAAGAGTACTTCGGTGGCAAGGAGCCGTCAAAGGGTATTAACCCTGATGAGGCTGTGGCATATGGTGCCGCCGTCCAGGGTGGTATTCTCACTGGGGAAGTGGGCACAGAAGATGTTGTTCTCGTCGATGTCTGCCCTCTGACGCTTGGGATTGAAACAACCGGTGGAGTTTTCACCAAACTTATTCCTCGTAACACTGTTATTCCCACTCGCAAGAGCCAAATGTTAGTGTTGTTTGGCATTGATCCTGGATTTTTTGCTGACATTGAATGTATAGCTTCTCCACAGCCGCCGACAACCAGCCTACTGTATTGATTCAAGTCTTTGAGGGTGAGCGGGCACTTACGAAGGACAACGATCTCCTCGGTAAATTCGAATTATCCAACATCCCTCCTGCCCCTCGTGGTGTGCCTCAGATTGAGGTGTCATTCGAGATTGATGCAAACGGTATCATGAAAGTTGGTGCTGCTGATAAGGGAACGTAAGTGTTTTATAACATACCCGTGCGTCGAATGCCGCCTAAAGGTTTGTATTTCTAGTGGCAAGTCAGAATCTATTACGATTACGAATGAAAAGGGACGGTTGTCGAAGGAAGATATCGAACGCATGGTTCGCGAGGCTGAGGAGTTTGCCAGCGAAGATGAGGCAAACAGGCAACGCATAGAGGCTTTGAACAGCCTCTCATCGTTCGTGTATGGCCTTAAGAGCCAACTTGCTGACCAGAGTGGTCTTGGTGGCAAGATCGACGACGATGATAAGAAGGCTATTCTCGCTGCTGTCAAGGAGACAACCGAGTGGATCGATGAGAACGGGCAGTCAGCGAGCACGGAAGACCTAGAAGAGAAGCTGAGCGGTCAGTATTTTTGTCTCTTTCTTTTTCTTCATCGTTTCTCTTTTTTCTTGTTGCTGATCGTTGGTTATTTTTATTTTTTTTGTAGATATCCAAAGCATTGTTAACCCAATCACGACTAAACTCTATTCGGGCGGTGCTCCAGAGGAAGAAGATGAACCTTACTTCGACCACGACGAACTGTAGGGAGTTGGATGTTCGACGATGTAATTATTCTCTTAGCTAGGCTACAAAAGTGTGTAGGCATAAAATAGAAATCTTATTATTTTGGCATCACTTCTTGCACACCAGTTACAATGCGTGAAGTTACGTATGCAAAGAATATGCTGTCATAAGGATGCCATAGTTCTACAAATAACAAACGCTGATTGGAATTTCATAACAGACAAGAATTAACGGAGTTGGGGAGATCTCGAGGAGAGGTTGATGAAAAATCGGCGCAGAGCAATGATAACGGAGGGAAATGATCATAATACAACTGTTAAGACAACAAACACATCCTTTCCAAAAAGGAAACACACCCCCAGAATTTGATCGCTCGAGGGAGAAAGACACGATCTATCGACTAATCGTCATCATCGACGGAAGAGGAATATGACAGCCTGCGCAAATAATTTTGCTTCAAGGACGTCTCTTGATTTAAACCCTGCCCCGAAGAGGGAGGAACAGAAAGAACAAGGCGGAAAGCATCTTTCCCGTTCAGATAAAAGCGGTGTAGCCGCTTTTCCCGTATGAAGCCCAGTGATTCATATAATGACAATGCAGCGGCATTATCATATTCGGTCTCGAGGACAACCTAGGAAAGATACACGTTAGGCCTTCTGAGATTTATAAAGGTATTACTAACCTCAACTACATTTCGCTGCTTCATCACTTCGATAGAATGGCGTACTAGCGAGCTAGCTGGGATCCGAAATACGGAACGGGTAAGGTAAACAAAACAACGGGAAAGGAGAAAACCACTAGGCCTCGTACCTACACCTCGTTTACGCCAGTTCTTGTTCACACTTAACATTGCGATGTAACCTCTATTTGAGACATGTTTATGCATGCTTTGTTTGCAAACGATAACGCCAATCGGATCAGAAGACCCTGCAGGGTATGCCTAACCACCTGCATTAGAACGATGCAGCAAGGAATGGTCACGGGTCACGAACCAAGAAAGAAAGCTCGGGCCTGGGTTTCGTGGATTCCAGGAGGAAAAGTGAAGAAGGTTAGGTAAGTAAGAAGTGAGCTCGAAAGCGATGGAAGACGCACCATTGATGAAGGAAGTATCGATATGTGTATATGACATAAGGCTCACTGAGCTCGTTCTGCACAAGAGTCATGATGTGCGGTAAATCAGACTCGCCTACATACGGTCTATAGAATATTTCTGCCATGCCCAAAAGCTTAGAGACCTTGATGGTACAGCGTATACTACAGGCGGACTGTCAGGAGCGGAATATGGAACCGGATAGCGGACACGCGACTGCGAAGAATGGAACAAAACCCGAACAAAAGCACGCCTGGAGGTTATATTAGGTCGAGAAAATGATAGGCAGGGTATCATGCCTCAAATGCGAATCATATAGTGGCGATTTGCTCACTGAAAAGGCATATGTAACACTGAAACAGGTAAGAACAAGACAGGGAAAATGACCGGAAAGCAGCTTGGATAACTTTAAATTACATAATATTGTAAGTGCACAACATTCCCACACGCCACGGACGCGACCTTTGGCGCATTACTTGGCCTCGACAGTGAGGACCACAAGAGTATTGTCCAACATGGAGTCCATTTCACGTTTGCGAAGTGCGTTGTTAACGGCGTTGGGCTCGCGTGGAAGCCAGCATGGAGAGCAGGAACTTTTTGACGAACTGTTGATCCACAAGCCACGGTTACTCGAGCTTTTCGATGTTGGTGCCAGTAGTCAGCAGGAACAACGTGAACTGCAAAGCGGTCAGCCTGCTTTTGTTTGTTTCTCTGGCTGTTCAATGATTAATCTTCGTGCTATAGGTAGAATTGTGGTTGGCGGAAAATCCCTTGCTGTCAATTCAGATTTCGCGCAGCAGACCATCTTTCTATCTCAACAACTAAATTGTTCAGAAAAGTATGTCGCAAGTATACTCCACGACGTTATGTCAAACAACCCCAACATCGGCGCCGTAAATTGCATGGAAGCAACTGTTGCAGAATTTCACCAGAGACGCCGTTATTTGGCCGACTGTATGCGATACATCTTCGAAGCTGCAGAATTAGCACAGATTGCTGGGGCATCTCGGTTGTATCATCGAGTGGAGACCTTTGCTCGACATGAACTCATACCTGCTGTTAAAGTTCCTGGAGGAGAAATACCTCTTGCGTATCGAATCTTCAGGGAGATAGACAACTTGGGAATCACTATAGCCCGGGCTCAGAGTGCTAGGCAAAACGCTGGAAGCAACACTACAGTATCTTCAGGTCAAGGTGTGTTTATATTTTTGCGTCAAATATTACTGTGACATATCTAATTCATCACTGGTATGGTAGGTGGGAATTCTGCCCTGGGTTATGACATACTCAGCGCACGCTACGACTCCCTCAAGTACGAACAACGAACACTTGCTTCAGTCTACTTCATGATTGGCCGCTTAGGGTATTTCTCGCCTAACGAGGTTCAAAAGTCAGTGGACTGGCTGGCGACAAATCCCAATCACCCTATGACTTTTTATATTCTTGCGGCTACTCTCGCGGCCTTCGACACCGTAGACCCATCCACCTTTGGGGGACAGATAAGACAGCATCTTGCAATGGAAAAGGCTACTCTGCTGTACATGAAAAACAAACTGGGGCAGTCAACTGACTGGAAGGAGCCTGGGCTCAGGGCAACGATCCTATTGAAATGGACTCTGTTTTTAACCGAGGCACGACATCGAGATTCGACTCTTGAGCACAGGGAAGGTTTCAAAACGGAGGAATTGGAGACGCAAATCTGGAACGCCGTTCAAGGGGATGCATTCACATATCTTGTGACGACATTGTTACAAATGCAGAAGAGAAGCCGAGGATCTGCGACAGTTTCTTTTACAGGTCCCCTTCAACTGACACCAGAGCAAGAGCAGTTGCGCGAATCTCCTCCCAACGAGTTTAAATTGGCCGTATTATTCTCGTGCGATTCTCTAGTGCGCTCTTTGATCGCACATGCGTCCTCAGAACTGCGGAAGATCAAACAAAGGCAAGAAGACCTCGTCTTCACAAGTGCTCGAACAGATCGCTCCCGAATGTTTCGATTATCTGCACCTGTATCTGATTCAGAAGCGACGCTGCCACCGCGGAACGATATAGCAATGCTTTTTTCATTCATTGGCCTTCTTTATTCCCTTCTACCACCAGAGCGAGCGATACAATTTTGGGGCGCTGCTCCGCACCACGATAACCATCGCCTTACTTGGCTTGAACATATAGAAAACAAAGCGGGCAAGCTTCCTGCATTTCTTCAATGGGCTGTTTGGTCTACTCAAGCGAGGGACATGGACACGACAATGGCACTATACGATATGTTGAGTGGTCTAGCAAAGGGCCAGCAATGCAGTGAACTAGCCTATAATTTCATGGCAAGAGGGGGTGGGGAAGTTATGCCTGGGAGCGGGTTACCTTCAACTACAGGGGCTTCTCACTATGCCACAAGCCCCACAATATCTTGGGGTATGATATTTGGTCTTCTAGAGTCGTGGGCTGCAACTAGCAGCAATCCGCGAGGAAATCAAAACCAGCCTCTACCGGGAGCTTCGTTCACTGGCCTTGATTCTCAACTTTTACAAAGCCCGACTACACACCAAGAACCACAGCATCTTACAATTGGCCCCAAAGACGTTTTGCTTGCCCAGGCATTTCTTCGATTTCTGTCCACTGTAGTCTCCAATTCTGTGGCTGTTCGGCTCGCTATTTCTGGTAATGCTCAGTTCAGATCGATCCCAACGTTGGTTTCCTTGATTCCCCTTGGAATACCTCTCGAGCTGAAAGGGGCCATCTTCGAAGCATTGGCTGCCTTTTGTGAGCCTGGCGCTGGTCTTGCCGGTGTGGAAATTTGTAAAACGGTATGGTCACTGATGGAGAGGTTGGAAGTCATTAATGTGCGCGCAGGTGCGAGACTAGGATCGAGCTTGCTTCCGGCGGTGAAAGGTGTCGAGGTTGAATTAGACGAGGTTGAAGCCGTGTATAAGCTCTATCCCGCAACACTACCTTTCTTGAAGTTGCTAAGCACACTCATCCATACTCCTAAACGCATGTCTCTCAAGGACCGTGTGGCCGATGCAGAACCAATCAACACTATTCCTGACACTCTCGGACAATCGTATCGTTTACCTGGTATCGGGCCTTTTGTCTGTTTTGTCATCGACAATGTCTTCGCGAATATCCCTCACCGGGAATATGCCCGACCGTCCGATAGGTGGCAAATTAACGACCTATGTTTGTGCTTCATCGAACGTGCTCTCGCAAGCTATGATCTCGAATCTCTGTTGTCTGCTGGAGAAGAAATACAGCTGAAAAAGGAGTCCATCCTTCCCTTGCTTGTCCATCCTGGATATGATATCATGAAACGACTCCTAACTAATTCTCCATTGCAGGCCAGTATCCTATCTTACATTGTGGAGGGTGTTGAAGGTTTCGAGAAGGAGTTCTCAGAAGAAGAGCCTTTTTTCAAGAGTACCATAGTTCGTGTTTTGCGGATCCTGCATCGGGTCTTACAGATCCAAGATATCTTCTTGGATGTGCTCATACCTTTGCTATCCGAGTTTGACAGTGCCCCGATCATTGGCACTGTCCACCCAAGGTCGTCTTTTACGAGATTTGACCAGGCTTTATCCTTCGGAGGTCAATATGTGCCTGCAGTGGCTGCGTATGTCGTGTATCCTGCCCACCCTGAACTTGTCCTGTTGGCCGTTAAGATTATCTCACAATTATCGACTTCCACATCTTTACCGAATCTGATCTCTCTGATTGAACGAAGCAGCGACTCTGAACGCATCCTGAGTGGTTTCCGCCGAATTCTTGACGTGGAGACCTTGGACGACGTAGGCATCGCAGAGGCAAATGCAGACGACACGACGGGTGCTGGTGCGGTGGATTACGAGGGGGAGCATTCTTTGGAACAAGCTACTCGTTTGGCGGCGCTTGATCTGTTGATACAGACTACTGATTCCCGGCGACCATTTCCTAATGTTGGCCACTTTCTCCTCTTTGGTGGGTCAGAATCTGAGTATAGGATCCAAGACCCTCATGCCATGGGCGCACATCGGACTTGTGCGCACGTTATCCTTGATTTACTAAATGCCGGAGTTCCCGAAGTACGAGGACGCAATAAACAGCGAGGACGCCAACTTGCCATGCAGGCTGAGCCGTTGTTCATCGCACTTCCAGCTTTGGCAGAACGTTGCTATCGTGTAATCTATCAGCTTTGTGTACATCCCCGGACGTCGGACTCCACGATGCGGTATCTGCGGACACGCGAAGATTTCTTTTGTCGTCATTTAGCTGCCATCCCTTCCAATGTTCCTGAAGTCATCGATGATCCCTACATTGAAGTCCTTTACATCGATGGTTCTCGTATCACTACCACGGTCTCAGCGCTCAAGTCTTTCATCCGTCTCCGCTCCTGGATTCTTGACTTGGTTGCTCTAGACTTACATGTCCTGACGAATAAAGGGCACCATAAAGGCGTCCTAGAAATCTTGGCAATCGTCTTCGGAGTTGATGCCTCCCATGCCGATGGTCACCAGGTTTGGGAAGATGATATGTTGCAGCCTTTCCAGGATATTGGGCAATCGCATTCACGGATCATAGAGTTTGTTCAGTCGTTGAGCTTCGACTGGTCTGATAGTGTGACGGTGAATCCCATCGACCTGGAGTACCTTGGTCAACTCAATCTTCATACATGTATTCGCGTGGACGCGTCAGGATGCGAAGTTGTGGATAGAACAGCGTTATTATCCTTGTTGACGACTGCCCGGCGTGCTCTCCACTCACAAGGTCAACTTACTACTTCCGCCCATGTTGATAAGTTAAACACCGAGATCAATTACATTATGGAAAGTTGCGCTATTGAAAATCATCGCCGCGAGATTCATCATTCGATCGCAGCCGGATATGAGTCGTGGCGGAGGTTATTGGACACGACGCTGATGAAATGTTTCGATAGGCTACCTCACGATCGTCGCGAGAACATGTTGTTCGATTTGCTGCACGTCCTTCCCACAATCATACAATCTCCTGACATCGGGGAACCTACAGCTGTTCTACTCTCAGAAGCATCGGTGTCGGCGATCACTAAATTGCGTGAAGACAGGCGGCACCAAGTCATGCTTCAGTCTGCAGGCGGTGATGCCGATGCGGGTTCTTTGCCTACAGATAGACTTTTCAGCTTGCTTCGGAGCCTTCTCGAGTGCATATTGTCCAATAACCGCATGGAGCTTGTCCGTGGTAATCTTTATGCTGCTCTGATCAATTATCTGCACCTTGTAGCACCCAATGATTCGAGTTGTGATGTATCGATGGATAACTTTAGGAGGCAGTCAATGTCGATGTCCTTACGACTTTCGGTTTCCTCTTCAAGAGATGACATGATGATGTCCAATAGCCAGTTGTTGCCAAGTCACTCGGGGAATGCGGGTGGTAGTATGACTGCATTGGAAGCAGGTACTTTATCGGTGATGAAGAACCATCTGGAAAGGTTGATAACGACAATATCTCGAGATGCCATCGATGGTACTGAGGTCTGGAAAACAGTTGCCTTTATGCTTCTAGACTCCCTAGTTCACCTATCCCACTTGGACAAATCTCATGTCATATGGCCTACATTTGTTCGCTATGGTATCCTGTCGAGTTTCGTGCGGGGATTGAAGGAATCCGATTTGCCGTTACAACATGTCTTGAAACCCGATCCAGGTAAGGAGTCCTTGATACTCTTCTGGTTTATATTAACTTGTTTGTCGTCTAGATGACTTGAACCCTCTATATGTTTATGAATCCAAAATGTCGCTATTGATTAGGATGACTCAGAATCGCTTAGGAGCGGAACGTCTCCTGGAGGCCCAGATACTCCCAATATTGGCGCAATGCGAATTTATTGATGCCAGGCCTGAGGCAGACCAATCATTCATGGGTGAGTTTATGTTACCTCTCGCCTTCTTTGGGGTCTGACTTTTGTGTAGACTATGACTCCTTTCTTCCTTCTGCTATTCAACGTTACCATCAACTGTTCATGCCTGCGCTACAGCTGATAGTCGGAATGTTGGCAACGCTTGGATCCAAACACAATAGTGCCACTCATCAGGTAACGACCCGGTTCTTCCAGTAATCTTTATTTTGCGTTAATTCTGAGTCGAGGCATTGGACTTTTTGTCAAGTCATCGGGAAACGATTATCATCTTGCTCAAGAATGAAATGAGCGAAGTTCCACTATCATTCATTGAAGAAGTTCATTTACTTGTTTCCCTATGCGGTAGCGTTCTCCCCTTGGTCCCGAAATCTGATTTGGTGTGTGAAAACCGCCGTTGCCTACTTGCCTGCGGTCTGATATTTTACAGCTATCCGTTAATTCCGGGTTTGGAGGGATTCATGGTGCGATCTTGAGTTTTGCAGCAAGATACTTCGGATTTGGTCAAGAGACAAAGAAAGTGAAACCACATACTGATGTCGAAGTTCTTCAGGCAAGTATACATGCGCCAGGTGTGTTTGTTCGATATGGCAATTTTACATACCAAGCTGATTTTACGGAAGGCCGGACTCGCGAGACCAATTTCGATGTTTTAGTATACCGCCGGGAACGCATCCTACGCAAGGCCATAATTGAGTATCTAGGGATTGCGAGCGACTTTACTGGTAAGAGAGCAATGGTGTGCGTGTGTATATGATTCTGAAGTTAGTATCCAGAGCCTGAAATAACGCTAGTGCTGTCTCCAATAGTGTCAACACCTCGACAAGAAGAGCGCTCACATTTTGTAGGCAAGTCATACATGACAGGTGACCAATATTGATAATAATCCTGACTCAATATGTTTGCAGCTACTATACCCACCATTGGGGACGCCTTAGAGGCGCTGAGTAATCTGTGTAGTGACCTGGCAGAGACCCTCAAGCAGATTACAGACCTCTCGGCAGAGCTATTGTCTAAGGATCATATACGGGTTGATAACATCCAAGAGGTATGTGCATATTGACTATGGGGGTTTCTTATACTGAAATTGTCTTATTTGATAGATTGTTCCTATATCAAATGTAGAATTTTTGCTAGGACTTGACATTTCCCAGAAACGTTCTCTGATTTGCCGCGAATACGAACGTCTGAAACATGACACCCAGACTAAGGGGAGGACTTTGCTTGGTGTGTAAATATATTACTCGCGTCTTGGTACTATTGCTGACTACTATCAGACACGATGGAAATATTGCTACTGTTGCTGTGGCGGCATCTCGTTCACTATGCTGATGATCAACATATCGAAAACGACAGTTTGAAAACATCCCATCTAGGACGATCTGTTCCAGCGCCAGATGCAGAAACATTCCGCTCAGACATCAGTAATCGGATATTGTCAAGTTTACAGAGGCTATCATCATTAGATCTGGTATGTCTAGTATTTTTCTTATTACAGATCTACCGCTAATTTCAGAATAGACTTTGGAAACAATTGGCCACGACTGGCAGTCCTACCAAGGGTACATAGATATCATGTCTCGCAGACTAAGGGACACCATTGGGCTGCATGACGCCTTAGAATAAGCGGATGACTGTTACAAAAGAAGCGCGCCTTGCTTCACCCCATTCTCATCTTATAAATACTATAAAATACTGGTGACCACGTAAATTTGTAGCAAGAATTATTATGAAGGTGCTAAAAAGGAAGAAGGCTCCCTGCGCCTCTCAGAGCGACTTGTGAACCAAACCTTAGCGTTTGAGATCCTCCGGGAAAGTATGCTAGCACATATGCAACAAGAGCAACCAACTGAATCGTCATAAGTAGAGTGTCTAGTGTTGGATTGAACGCGGGATTATTGGCTTACCTGAACAACGGCGCAGAGCAGTGAACCGAGATATGAATGGGCCTATAATAAACTCAAGTGTTAAAGCACTGAGAAACGTATGATACAAGAAATTACATACCCCCAAAGAGAAGTACAACGTGAGACCCAAACTGGTGAAGTACACAAAAGAGAAAGGTAGCCGCTCTTTGGAAATGAGGTGCTTGACGTGGTTTATTGGACCGATAAGCACCGAAAAGCTACACCACACAATAGTGCCAGCGTCACCAGGTGCTGGTAAAGTTACCACATAGATGTTGACTCACCCAAACATAACCAACAAACTGCCCAGACTGAAACTGCACTCAATGCATGAATTTAAAGACAAGATACAAGATTTCTACCTGAATGCTAACGCAAATTTCGCTGGACGCAAGGCAAGGAGCGGCAGTGTCAGAAATGCGACGAAGAAGCACACCGCAGCTCCAAGCAAGCAACCTCCAAAACCTAACAACCTAAAGGGATATGACTCGTCATGCAAAAACAAAACCACACTAGGTTAACTAATGTACCTTTCCCATCTCGAAAGTGCAAACCAAGCTTCTTCCTCGTTTGATCGTTCACCGGAGCGCAAAGGAATGTAGTCGCCTGCTACGGCATTGTAGAAACGCGAGAACGGGTTCGAAGCCGGAAGTGGTGCAGACTGCTGTTGTGAATCATCTGTATCTCCCCTTGCCCATCGAAATTGGGAAAGGTTATTCCTGAAACTCTGTTCTGATGAAGGAGCCATGGTAGTAAGGGTTAATCTAGTCCGTAGTACGTATTAGTGTGGCTCATACGAGCCTTTAGCAAACCGCGCCTTCGCATAAACATGAACAAACTTGCACTCTGGACTAAGCGCTAACCACTCTAACGAAACATGACCAATTTAACTGAGCCTAAATTATAATCATAATGACATATTATTACACTATCATAGCATCTGATAGAGATATTTCGGGACAGTCTGCACTGTACTATGACCTTTTGACACTCCCCAAGATCTCAACGAAGCTGAGAATGGGGATGAGTCTGTGTGTTGTAACAGCAAGGACTAAATTATGATTTCAGGCTTTGCTTGAATATGATAACATCACCCTCTGGGCACCCCTGGCACATGAATCCACATTAATTTGTAAACAAATAAAAATTTGATGGGAATTGTTGTGGTGAGTGTACATGTAGCAATCATGAAAAACACAGATAATCAGAGCAAGTGGCTGGTGTAGAGACATTGCACTCGCTGAGCCTGGATTACCATTATATTCAGACATGTTTACTGACTCCAATGCACTTTCCGGATATACCAGCTCAATATCCAGACTATCTGCTCCTTTTCTGGAGTATCTGGACTTTCCAAAGTAATTTGATCTGCTTTTGGATACTCAGTCCAGATACACCAGAATAACTTCAGATAGCTCAGAAATGGAGCATACAAATTATTTATGGACATCACATGATGTATTGATGGGCTCTTTGCCATACATGGTAACTAGGATGGACTTAGACAAATTTCTGACATTAGGAGGGTTAAACTGTAACAACCAAGAGTTTGTATACTCTGGCACACAACTCAGATGGGCAAAGAGGAAGTGAGTGGGAGTGGTTACCCCTTAGGATAGGACCAAGTTAGCTGTGGGTAAACAACAGGAGGACTCGCTGAGGAGTCTCCTGGATCTATTGGTGTTTATATACTACTACAGGTTGTTTGTACATATGTACTATATGGTTGATGGAAGCAGTGGCTAATGATGTCATGGGGCACAGCCCGTATGACCAGCTCCACTGCGTGAGATACTTGTAGCAAAAATAAGAAAAGGCAGTGCAGCGTGAGAAGTGGAGTTTGAACAATAATGGAAAGTGCCGCATGGCACAGGGTGTGAAAACTACAGAAGAAAGTTGAGAATGAAAGTTAAAGGTCCAAAAATTGTGTATTGTAACACTACCCCCTTTCTAAGGCTTGACTTCCAGGCGAGACCAAGTACCAGAGGTAGTAGTTAAATTTTTGGGCATAGGTTGAAAAAGGGAGTCAAAAAGTGTTGAATTCATGCCTAGGAGCCGAGGGATTCTTAGAACAAAATTCTCGAACAGTGTCGCGGGAATTGTCCAGATGGGCTTCTGGTTCCCACGTTCTGTCCTTGTCTCCATAGCCCTTCCATAGGACTAGGAACTCTAATTTGCCACGCTTTAAGCGTGCATCCACCACTCGTTCGACTTTGAACTCTTTTTCACCTTCCTGGGTGACTACAACCGGTCCGGGCCGGTCTATACGCTGTCCCGGCAGCGGCCCTTTGTAGGGTTTCACACGGCTAATATTGACCGTAGGTACTACCCTCATTCGTTTTGGGAGTTCTAGCTCCACTGCATTGGGTTTGACTTCCTTAATCTGGTAAGGGCCAATCCACTTTTTGGTCAGTTTTCTGGACTGCCAATTCTTTAATTTGATGTGGTCGGTATCTAACCAGACCAGGTTGCCGACCTTGTAGTCAGGGGCCTTAGAGCGTCTACGCTCTGCCCTGGCTTTCATCTGCTCTGCAGTTTTGATTAGCACCTTGCGCGTTTCGTCTAAGATGGACTTCATGTCCTTAGCCATGTTCTCAGCAGCCTCGTTCTTGCTTTTGCCAGGTTCTACACCCATTCTGGGAAGGTACAATCTTGTAACCTTGAATGGTGCTTTTCCTGTAGCTGATGACTGTTTGATATTGTATGAGAACTGGGCTATCTTGAGCCACTTGGCCCAATCTGTCTGCCTGTCATTAATAAATATGCGGAGGTATTGCTTCAATTCTTGATTGAGCCTCTCCATTTGTCCATCAGTCTGCGGATGGCACGCCGTTGATAATTTAGATTTGATGCCCAGCATCCGGCATAAGTTTTTTGTAAATTTGCTAGCAAATTGAGGTCCTCTATCGGAGATAACCGTTTCTGGTAACCCATGGATAGACCACACAAAATCTTTAAATAAATCTGCCGTACCTGTGGCGGTAATGGTTTTATTGGTGGGTATGAATACCACTTCTTTGGAGAAGCAATCTACTACCACCATTACTGAATCATACCCATTTGATTCGGGTAGATCCGTCGTGAAATTAACCAATATATCCTGCCAGGGACCAGCTGGTATCAGATTTGGCATAAGTTTACCGGCTGGCAGTTGATGCGAGTTCTTTGCCATGGCACATCTTAGACAGGATTTTACGTATTCCTGTACATCTTTGACCATGCCAGGCCACATGTAGTTTCTGGAGATCAACTCCATTGTTCGTTGCCACCCAGGGTGCCCAGCCACTGGAGTGTTGTGATGTCTGTCTATTGCATTGATCCTTGCGGACTCAGGCACATAGATTTTGTTTTTAAGATGGAAGAGCCCATCTTCCCATAAATAGTTTTCATTGCCATCAAGGCGTGCCTTCTCTTCTGTGGAGATGTCTTTCTTGAAGTCTTCCAGAAAATTGGAATCCTGCCGGATTCAAACATTGGCAACCCTGGATTGATCTATCAGGGTGACACCTTTGTTGTCATCTTCTATGCCATTGGCATGATCCTCTCTTCTGGATAAAGTGTCCGCTTTCCCCATAGAAGCTCCAGGCTTATGAATTAACTTATAATTAAACCTTGACAAGTACACTGCATAGCGGGCCTGTCTTCGGTTCAAGTCTCGGGCCGTCATAAAATACTCCAGATTTTTATGAATGGTCCAAATTTCAGATTGGTGCCTAGCACCTTCTAAGTAGTGCCGCTAGTGCTCTAAAGCTCTAATGATGGCTGGCATCTCCTTATCATAGATTTGATAGTTGCGCTCTGTAGGCGACAAACTATGTGATAAATAGGCACAAGGCCTCCAAAGATTGCCAGGGCATTTGATTGATAGAACAGCCCCAGTAGCAAAATCAGAAGAGTTGGTTTCTAGCCAGAACTCTTTGTCTAATTCTGGAAATGCTAATATGGGCGCTGTTGTAAATGCCTGTTTAAGCTTCTCAAAATCTTCTTGTTCTTTGGCGCCCCAGTGCCAAACAATGTCCTTTTTAGTGAGATCGTTCAACGATCTCGTTATCTTTGCGAAGTGTTCAACAAACCTTCGATAGAAATTGCCCAAGCCAAGGAAGGCCCTAACTCCTTTGACGCAAGTAGGTTCAGGCCAATCCAAAATAGCTTGAACTTTCTCAGGATCCATCCTGATTCCATTCTGGCCAATTATCATACCAAGGAAGTCTACTTCCTTCACTTTAAAGTTACATTTTTTGGGTTTGACAAATAGGTCCCGTTTCTGTAAGCGTCGAAGGACTTCTTGCACAATCCTGTCATGCTCAGCCTCATCGTCCGATTTTGTAAATATTAATAAATTGTCAATGTAAATGACGACACAGTTTTCCATGTCCGCAAAGATCTTGTTCATCATGCTCTGGAAGGTTGCCGGTGAATTGGTCAACCCAAATAACATAACGAGGGGTTCAAAAGATCCTCGGTGGTACATGAACGCGGCCTTCCAAGCATCTGTTTCTTTGATTTGTACATTATTGTACCCCCATCTGAGATCCATCTTTGTCAAGATTTTGGCACCAGCCAATTTGTCTACTGGCTGACTGATCAAAGGCAGCGGATATGCATTTTTAACCGTGTACTCATTCAAGTAACGATAGTCCATAATCATATGCTTCTTACTATCCTTTTTAGGAATGAAGAACACCGGGGACGTCATAGGGCTTTTGGAAGGTCTGATGTAACCCTTCCTAAGCTGTTTATCTATGAAACTTGATACCTCGTCTCTTTCTGGAGCAGAGAGTGGTATCATGTGTCCTTTTCTTGGTTTGAAGGTGTCCTTCAAATCTATAGCATGGTCCCAAGGCTTAGCCTCTGGGAAGTGCTCTGATTTATATTTAGAAAAGACCTTCCAGAAGTCATGGTACTCGGAAGGTACCAGCTGTTACAATAACACAATTTTCGGACCTTTCCTTTATTTTCATTCTCCGCTTTAACCTTGTACTTTAGCTTTCACACATGGTGCCACGCGGCACTTCCCCCTTTTTGTCCAAACTCCTCTTTCTCGCGCTGCGTTGCCTTTCTTCTTATTTTAGACACAACTCTCTCACACAGTGAAGTTGGCCATGCGGGCTAGGCCCCATGACATCATCAGCCACTGTCTCTATCAAAACTGTATAGTACACATGTACAAACCAACCTGTAGTAGTATATATACCCCAATAAATCCAGAAGACTCCTCAGCAAGTCCTCCTGTTGTTAACCAACAAACTCTCTGCAGCTCAAGGGGTAACCACTCCCCATTCATCTCCCTTATAGTGTGTTCTTGTGTGTGCACCAGAGTAACTAACTCTTGGTTGTTACATTAGGACTCGCTCTTCTACTCTCTCGCACGTTGTGCAAAAAAAAAAAAAAAAGTCCCACTGGGCACCCGGACTCCAGGGTGAAGGAGATTTGGTTATTGGTTGGGAATATCCCGCATAGCAGATAGGTGCGCTCTTTGCGACGGCCTTGTAGTGCTTTGGGAGAAGAACCAAAACCTTTGATATGCGTCCCCCAGCGTTAAGGGGAGTACTTAGCTCAGCAGTCGGCGTGGAACCGCTGTTGATTAGAATTTACATACAAAACTTCAATTTCTCTTTCCTCTGACCAGGCCGGGCACTTGCCTCCGCCAGTCTGGAGAAGGGTTGACAGCTTAACAAGCAGACCACCCCCTGACAACCGTTCGGACCAGGGTTTAAATACTATAACTTTTATATAAATTTTCAAAATACTATAGTGTGGGTAGTCGGAGATTGAG